CTGCACTCCCGGGTTTGGGGCCAGGCCACTTGGGAAGGGGAAAAGCTTTGGTGCCTTCTTGCTCGAGTGAGGTTTCATATCCCAGCTGCTCCACTTCCAATCCTGCTCCCTGATAATGGCCTGGGAAACTAGGGACACATGGCCCAAGGGACTGAGCCCCTGTCACCCACATGGGAGACCCGGAAGAAGCTCCTGGCTCCTGGCCCAGTCTTGGCCATTAAAAGAAAATAATTTTTTTTTCCTATTTGAAAGGAAGAAGGAGAGAAAGAGACAGAGATGTCCCATCTGCTGGGTCAAATGCCCAAAACAGCTGGAGCTGGGCCAAGCCAAGGGAAGCCAGAAGCTAGAAGCTTCGTCTGGATCTCCCGTGTGAGGGCAAGGACTCAAGTGTTTCAGCCATCACCCACGGCCGGCCAGGGTGCACCTCAGCGGGAAGCTGGAACCGGGAGTGGAGCCAGGACTCAGACCCAGGCACTTGAAATCGGATGTCGTGTCCCAAGCAGTGCCTTGAAAGACGCACCAGACGCCCACAGCCCGGCCATTTCTGAAGCCTGGTTGGTGAGTGGTGGTCGGCCAAGTCCATGGTTGGGGTCAGGCTGCAGGCTGTCCCTGGCCCTAGCTGGGAGACCACAGCTGGCCCCGGGGAAGCTGCTGCTGGCCATGCCCCTCGCCCCACTCTGGGAAGCTCACTGACCCCAAGGGCAGCTCTGTCCATCTGCAAACTCTTCCAGCCAGGAGCAAAGCCGGGAGCCCCATCTCACCCCCATGGAGCCTCCAGTATGGCCCTTGTGGCCTAAGCCATGACTCAGCGCCTTCAGCCCTGCCCGTTCTGCTCCCGAGCCAGGCTTCCCTCCCCCACCGTGAGTCCAGCACCCCGCTCCGACCTGTCACGTCCCCTGGGACAGCCCTTCCAAAGCGGACAGGAATGGACCGAACACGCCCTTCTGGGTGGGTGGTGGACCCTCAGTGAGGCCACCCATTGGCCGCCTACCTGTGTTGGCCCTCATCTCCCTGCTCTGGCTAATTCAGAACTGGATGCCTTGGCTGGCTACCAAGTGTAAGCCAAAACCAAAAAACAAAAACCAAAAAAACAGGCTCAAAGGCGGCACATTGCTGGGGACAGTGCCCCACTCACATCGCTGACCTGGGCACGGCGGGGCACAGGCACGCCCACTGCCAGCCCTGCCCCTGGTCTCACACCAATGCCGGCTGCTGCTGTCACACCTGCTGCTCATCGGCTCAAGGCTGGAGAGCCAGGGACGGCTGTGAGCACCTGTCGGGGGAGGGAGGGGACCTGGACAGAGGAGGATGAGAGTCCTTGTGCTGGGTGGTCCACAGAGTGACAGCGCTCATCTTGAACTTGCCCTCGTCACACCAGGCGAGTCTTCCGTGCCCACGAGAAGTCACCTGGGCTCCTGGTGCCCACACATTCTTGTGACAACCTGTGCGGTAGGTACCGTCACCCCCACTTCCCTGAGATCCCCGGGATGTGCCGGCCGTCCTGCTGCATGCCCGCTCCAGAAGGGAGGGTCGGCTGGGCGGCTGGGGGCCCCACCCCTGCTGAGAAGTGAGGCCCCTCCCTCCGCATGGCCCCTTGCCCCACGGCCTGCATGCACAGGGATGGAGCAGACCAGCGTCAGCCCAGGCTGCAGCCAGGGAGGGAGGCCGAGTCTTCAGCTCCTTCCCAGCAACCGGTCTCAGGGAGAGGGTGAGTCAGAGGGTGGGGCCGGGTGGGGGAGGGGAGCTCAAGCCTGGCTCCGCCTGTGCCCGTGGCGGGCTACAGAGGGGACCCCTTGACCGAGCGAGCCACAGCCCTCATCACTCATTCATTTGTTCACTCGGTCTCTGGCTCTTGACTCAGCATTTACGGAGCGCCTGCTGTATGTACAAGCAGATCGCTGTCGAGCAGGAAGATGGGGGAGGGCTCGGCGTGGGGGAGGGGGGTGCACGGGACAGGAGACCCGGATGGTGTTCCAGGCTCCCGCTTCAGCCTGGCCCAGCCCTGCCTATTGTAGCCATTTGGGGAGTGAACCAGCAGGTGGAAGATTCTCTCTCTCTCTCTCTCTCTTTCTCTCTCTGCTTCTCAAATAAATAAATCTTTAAAAATTATGTATTCGCCGGCGCCGCGGCTCACTAGGCTAATCCTCCGCCTAGCGGCGCCGGCACACCAGGTTCTAGTCCCGGTCGGGGCGCCGGATTCTGTCCCGGTTGCCCCTCTTCCAGGCCAGCTATCTGCTGTGGCCAGGGAGTGCAGTGGAGGATGGCCCAGGTGCTTGGGCCCTGCACCCCATGGGAGACCAGGAAAAGCACCTGGCTCCTGGCTCCTGCCATCGGATCAGCGCGGTGCGCCGGCCGCAGCGCACCGGCCACGGCGGCCATTGGAGGGTGAACCAACGGCAAAGGAAGACCTTTCTCTCTGTCTCTCTCTCTCACTGTCCACTCTGCCTGTCAAAAAATAAAAAAATTAAAAAAAATTATGTATTCACTTGAAAGTCAGAATTATAGAGAAAAAAGAGAGGCAGAGAGAGAGAGAGAGAGAGAGAGAGAGAGAGAGGTCTTCCATTCGCTGGTTCATTCCCCACATGGCCACAACAACCAGGGCTGGGCCAGGCTGAAGCCGGGAGTCAGGAGCTTCCTCCGGGTCTCCCACGTGGGTGCAGGGGCCCAAGCACTCGGGCCATCCTCTGCTGCTTTCCCAGGCGCATTAGTGGGGAGCTGGATCAGAAATGGAACAGCCAGGACTTGAACTGGCGACCACATGGAATGCCAACGCTACAGACAGCAGCTTAACCTGCTAAGCCACAGCACCGGCCCCCTGCAGAAACACGCGAGAAGAATTTTATAGCTGTTTTTGAAGCTATCTGGCTACAAGTCGCTCAGTTGATTTGCTGCTGGCCTCGGTTTCTGTACAAACATCACGTGTTCTTAGGAATCCCGGGAATTCTTCCAGAGCGAGACAATGAGGCTTCCAGATGGTTCTCATGTGCAGGGTCACGTTTGGAAACACCAAGGTCAGCAATGGACGAAGCTCACACGAGGACAGGAAGACATTTACTGGTCTGAGTGTTGCAATGCCAGCATTCTGGAACCAGTGCATTTCTGCCCCCTCAAGGATTTTTTATGCCCGTGGACATCTTGCCCACAAGGCCAACCGGGCCAACTGCCCCTGCCCCACCAGGCTCCGGCCGTGGCTCCCGGCACCTGACCCGGCTGGATGGGAAGAGGAGCAGCCGGGACATGATCCGGTGCCCATATGGTATGGGATGCCGGCGCCACAGGCAGCGGCTCAGCCCCCTATGCCACAGCGCCGGCCCCTCAAATCATGGTCTTCAAACAGAGGCCCGCAGTGGAGAGTGAGGGTCCCGGCTGCCCTACTCGGTGGCACCTGCTGTGTGACGGTGGCCCAGTCTCCTTGACTCCTGGTCACCAGGCCACAGGTGGCCCCTTCTGGGCCAGAACTCCAGGGATGCCCTCGGGGCAGTAGGGCCGGGTGCCACAGCCCCCTTTCCTGGCCTGTGCAGGCCACGCCTCCATGCCCGGGACCTCGCCAAGGACTCCAGGAGTAGACGCCCGGGGCTCAGTCCACCCCCCAGGCAGGGAGCTGCAGTCATGGCTCCGGCCTCCCTGGAGGACAGACATGGAAGGAGAAAGCACCGGAAGCAGAGAGACAGGAAATCAGGAGAAAATATGAGGACAGGGGGACGGGGGTGGGGCAGGAGCCTGGCCCAGCTGGGAAGACTGCTTTTTGTTCCCTATCAGAGGTCTGCGTTCAAGTGCCGACTCCACCCCCAATCCCAGCCACCTGCTGAGTGAACCAGCAGATGCAAGTCCTCTCTCTCTCTCTCTGCCTTTCAAATAAAAATAAAAATAAAATCAAAATAAAAAAATCAAAATACAAGGACAGAGGGCTGCTCCTAGACCGCAGACCGAGGTGGGGCAGAGAGAAGAGAATCCCGCCCCCCAGCTCTCCCCGGGGACCCTTGCGGGGGTGGGGTGGGAAGGCGCAGGTTGCAGGGCCCCCGGGCTTCAGCGGAGGTCAGGGTGGGCAGAAGCTGGTACAGGTTGGGGACAGGCGTCCCTCAGGTGCCCTGGGGGGCCGGGGATTCCAGTGGTCGGCAGAGAGTGGCCGCAGCCCTGAACCACGAGATGACCTGCGTGGGCTTCCTCTTTCTCGGAGACCCCCAAGAGCTGCTCCCCTCAGCCCTGGGCACTGTGGGTGCTTCCCCAAGTGGGAAACTGAGGCTGGCCAGACAAGGGACAGAAGACAGGAGTCCTGGGTGTCACCTGCCAGCCCACAACTGGGTCCGGCTCTTGGCCACAGTTTCTGACAGTAGCCAAGGGCACCTCCTTCCCCGAGCCTGGAGGTGCCCTGGGTGGGCTTCCTGGAAGAGGCAGCCCCCGGGGCTGGACTTGAAGGAGAAGGGCTGGCCTCTGGCACCCCAGGCAGGACCAGATTTGGGACAGGGCCAGTGCAGCTGCAGAACGTAAATCTGTCACAGTTGCTGGCGCCACAGCCTCGCCTGTGCCCCAGACAGGAGCCAGGAGCCTTGGGTGGAAGAGGGAGCTACAGCAGGGGGGGCGGGGAGGGGGATCCCGCCCACGCCATGCTCCTCTATGGGCCCCTCCCGGCGGCTGGGCACCCCCCACAGCCACCCCCTTCCTCTGCCCGCACAGTGCCCCGTGCAGGTTGGGGACCGGGGACCCTGGCCTCTAGCTGCAGCCCAAGCCTTCGCTGCCTCCCTGCAGGGGCCCCCACTTTGTCCCAGCATTGGCCTTCTCTGTGGCGGGCCTCGCCCCCACCTCCCCCACCCCCCCGTCTCTTCCTGCCCACAACTTTCTGGCACACTCTATAGACTCCTGATGAACAAACACAGGATCCCCTACGTGGCCCCACCTGAACAGCTAGCGCCTACCCCTGGGCCCCACCTCCCAGGTCCAGCCCAGGAGGCCCGCCCACGCCCCATCCCGGTCACCCCGCCCCCTGGCTGTATTCTCATTACCATGCGTCCATCTTCACAGGAGTGGAAGTATACAGTGGTCTTCCTTGATTGCTGTCACTCAATGTCAAGCATGCACTGAAAAATTCTAGAAAGTTCCAGACCAATTCTAGAAGGAGAGCCTCAATGGTGTGCCATTCCGAGCAGTGTGGTGAAACCCGGCGCCGGCCTCTCCGCCCAGGCCCTGGATGTGCACCCAGACTGTGTCAAGCGTCTCCACGCCGCATACGGCACCTGCCCGTTCATCGCTCATCAGACGGGCTGTTATTTATTGCAGAGTTAGAGAGACAGAGAGAGATCTTTCTTCCACTCACTGGTTCACTCCCCAAATGCCCCCAACCCAGCCGGGGCTGGGTCAGTCCGAAGCCAGGACATCCAGGTCTCCTCTACAGGTGCAGGGGCCCAAGCACCTGGGTCATCTTCCACTGCTTTCCCAGGTGCAGGGAGCTGGACTGGAAGTGGAGCAGCCGGGACTCGAACCAGTGGCCCTGTGGGATGCCGGCATCGCAGGCAGGGGCTTAACTGTGGCTCTCAGAAGCAGATGAGGGGGCTCTACCACCTCCTTTCCTCCTGGCTTCTGTTCTCGCACACACTGGAGGGAGAGCTGCCCCCTGGTGTGTGCCCACAGCTTGCTCGGTGTCTCTGTGTGTCCTCTGGGGCTGTGATGCCGGCGGCTGCTAGAACATTCCTGCCCGTGTCCTCTGCAGCCTGACCAGGCCTAGGCAAACAGCCAGGAGTGGAACTTCTGGGTCCTGGCTGAATGTACATTTCCCTCCTGCCCCTCCTGTCTCTGTTCACCACCTCCCGCAGCCAACAGCGGATCCGCCTTCTCCCAGTTTCCCCAGGGAAGAACTGCCCCCCTGGCCCCACCCCTGCCCAGAGGGCCCTCCCAGCCAGCCTGAAGGGACCACTGGGGTAGCTAAGGAGCAGAGTAGCCTGGGTCGTGGCCCAGCTGGCGTCGTGGCCCAGCAGGTCAAGCTGCTGCCTGCAACCAGTGCCCGGTTCGAGTCCCCGCTGCTCCACCTCCCATCCAGCTCCTTGCTAACGCACCTGGGAAAGCAGCAGAAGATGGCCCAAGTACTTGGGCCCCTGCCACCCACAGGGGAGACCTGGATGGAGTTCTGAGCTCCTGGCTTCAGCCTGGTACAGCCCCAGCCATTGCCACTATTTGGGGAGTGAACCAGCGGAAGCTCTCTATCACTCTATCTCTCTCTCTCTCTCTCTCTCTCCCTCTCGCCCTCCCCCCCCTTTCTCCTGAGGGTGCACAGAGTTTTCTCCCCACAGGCTGACCACTCCCGTCGCAGCATCTGGGGACAGTCTGCTGGGGCCCCTCCCCCTGCAGCCTGGCCACCTCCTTGCCCCGAGCACAGACATTGTGGCCCAGGAGGACAGAGAGCTGGGGTCAGGGGCTGCCAGAAAGATGGGGTGGGGGAGAGCAGCAGAGAACAATGTCCCCTCTCTGGGGACGCGTCCGGCTCAGCCTCTGCTTGAGCTGGGGGCAGCCTAGAACGGGCCCGGTGGTCCCCAGGGCCCGGATGGGACTCGGGACACGTTCATCCATCGTCCCAGACTCAAACCCTTGGGGACAACCGAGACTCCATGGGCCACAGCCTCCCCCACGGCCCCCGGTGGGCGGGCAGGGTCTCCCACTCCATTCCACGCCTCTGACAGCGGCGGAGACCCCCTCTGGGAGTGGCTTGGTGGCCGTGCTGCACCCCGCCCTTGGCCCTGGGCCCAGACCCGGTTCCTCTTTTCCCAGAAGCCAGTCCCCCCAGCGCGGTTCCGTGCCTCGCCCTCATTAACCTCCAGAACCTTCCTGACAGACAGTGGGGAGGGAGTGCCCTGCCCCATCCTCTCGCAGAGGAAGCTGGGGGTGGGGGCGGGGCGAGGGAAGGGCCCCCCGGGGGGGCTGCCTCTGGGGGTCAAGGTTCTGGGGGTGGGAAGCGGTGCGGGTTGGACACCCCTGCCTCTGGGGTTCCTCCAGCCCTGGCGTCCCAGGCCCCCGGCTCCCGCCCCTCCCTTCCCAGAGACCCCCCCGCGAGACCCCCACCCCGCCTCCCCAGCCCAGCTCGGTCTGCACCCCTTGTGTCCCACCTCCCTGATGGCGCTGACTGTCCTCAGACTGACCATGGCGTTGTCCAGGGGGCTCCAGGTTCCCACGGTGAGGGGATGGGGAGTGGGTGCCCCCAGCTGAGATAAAGCATGGCGGGGGCTGCGAAGTCCCCACATCCGTCTCCCTCGGTCCCTTGGCCACCTGGGAACAGGGGAGGGGGGAGGGACAGACCCATTTCTAAATCCACAGGGTTCAGAACAGTTCGGCTGGGGTCACAGGTGCGGGAGGGGGAGGAGGGTTGGGCTCCAGGCCAGGGGACTGGGGGAGAGGGTGAGGCACAGCCTGCAGGAGCCCCTGGGCCGTTGTCCTTGTGACTTGGGAGCGGCCCCAGGGTGCGGGGAGCCAGAAACAGCCCGCACCCCAGCCTGGGCCCACTGAAGGGCCCTGGGTGCTCACCGGGACCGGCTGTCCTCCCTGGGAGGAGGGGCCCGCAGCTGGAGCCCCAAGACCGCCCCCATCTCAGGCCACACCCCTGCGAGTGTATGCCCTGCAGGTGCCCCCCCAGGCTGTGTGCCCGGCTCCCAGGCTCCCAGCCTCCCCAGGCCGCCAGACTCCGCCGTGAGAGCCAGGTCCCAGGCCAAAGAATGGGAGCAAATGCACCCCTGTGCAGCCGGGGGGGTCCCAGCTGCGGGGCACAGCTGGGCATCGGAGGACGAAAGAGACCTTCACCCCTCCCTCTACCTGGGGTTTGGGAGGGAGGAGCTCTGAGTGGTTTCGGGGTTTCACACCTGCTCCTCTCCCTTCCCCTTCTGAGGGGACCCACATCCGGGGCAGGAGCCCAGGGAGCAGCCACGCTCCCCACCTGGGCGGCTGCCCCTCAGGAAGTCAGACCCAGTTCCCACGGCTGCTCAGAGTCAAAAATAGAGAAAAGAGGCCGGCGCCACAGCTCACTAGGCTAATCCTCCGCCTTGCGGCGCCGGCACACCGGGTTCTAGTCCTGGTCGGGGCACCAGATTCTGTCCCGGTTGCCCCTCTTCCAGGCCAGCTCTCTGCTGTGGCCAGGGAGTGCAGTGGAGGATGGCCCAAGTGCTTGGGCCCTGCACCCCATGGGAGACCAGGAGAAGCACCTGGCTCCTGCCATCGGATCAGCACGGTGCGCCGGCCGGCCACAGCGCGCCAGCCGCAGCACACCGGCCGCGGCGGCCTTTGGAGGGTGAACCAACGGCAAAGGAAGACCTTTCTCTCTGTCTCTCTCTCTCTCTCACTGTCCACTCTGCCTGTCAAAAAAATAAATAAATTAAAAAAAAAAAAGAAAAATAGAGAAAAGAGATAGGAGGAAAATGGAGGGAGAGGGCGGGAGAGGGGGAGGGGAAGGGGGAGAGGGGGAGAGAGAGGGAGGGACAGAGAGGGAGAGAGAGAGGGAGGGAGAGGGGGAAAGAGGGAGGGAGAGAGAGAGAGGAAGGGAGAGAGTGAGAGAGGGAGGGAGAGAGAGAGAGAGGGAGGGAGGGAGGGAGGGAAGGGGGGAGAGGGGAGAGGGGGGAGAGAGAGGGAGAGAGAGGGAGGGAGGGGAGAGAGAGGGAGAGAGGGTGGGGGAGAAGGAGGGAGGGGGGAGAGAGAGAGGGAGGGAGAGAAAGAGGGAGGGGGAGGGAGAGAGAGGGAGGGAGGGGAGAGAGAGGGAGAGAGGGTGGGGGAGAAGGAGGGAGGGGGGAGAGAGAGAGGGAGGGAGAGAAAGAGGGAGGGGGAGGGAGAGAGAGGGAGGGAGGGGAGAGAGAGGGAGAGAGGGTGGGGGAGAAGGAGGGAGGGAGAGAAGGAAGGAGGGAGGGAGGCAGCAGGAAGAGTTCCATCTGCCCACCAGGCTGACGTCAGCAGGCCCGTGGCCCTGGGACTCACGGTCATGGTCACGGTCCCCAGGTCTGAGTCCCCTGTGTGATCCAGAGCACAGAGTGGGCTGCGGTCAGTGGGAGGGAGCCGAGGGCCCCCACCAGCCTTGTCCTCATCCTTCGAGGCCCAGCCGCGGGTCCCTGGCTGGCCTGGGCAGCCGGGACTACCTAACTCAGCGCTGGCTGAGTGTCTGCCGTGAGCGGGGAGGCACTGATGGCTCCGAGGCCAGAGCTGGCCAGGGGCTTCACCTTGGGCACCCTTTCCACGGGTGTGGAGGCCCAGGGCAGGCCGGGCAGGTGCAGGGCTGGACCAAGCTCCTGCCTTCCCACCCAGGGCACCAGCCTGCTGGTCAGAGCAGGCCAAGGACATAAGAGAGGCAGCTGGGGAGACAGGGGGGCCCCTGGCTGAGGCGGTGGCAGGATGAGCCCAGGGAGAGGGGAGCCAGTGACTCCCATGGACAAGATGCAGGCCCAGGGTGTGATCAGGCTCCCGTGACAAGGGATGGGGGTGTTGTGGGCTCGGCTGCGTGGGGGGCATGGGGGACCCACGCCACCTCCCAGTCCTGAAACCTGGAGGTCGGGTCCACCTAGGAGGGCTTCAGGGAGGAGGCGTCCTCAAAGATGAGGCAGGAAGAGGGTACAAGGGCCGTTCGGGGGGCCCTGACCTCTAAGACTCGGGGGGGCATCGCCTGCAGAGACCCTCCCCAAGCCTCAGGCAGCCCTGTGTCCAGGTGGGGCTCTGGGGCCATCTGTCCAGTCCTCCCTCCAGCAAGGAGACCAGGAGGGTGGAAGACAGCCAGGAGGCTGCTGCCCGTGGACCCCACTGCCCTGCCCTCCACGTGCGACAGGGACCCCAGGGGGACAGAGTGGCCGTTCATCTTCTGGCTTCTTCCAGTCATTCCTCCCTTTCAGGCAAGCCTGCACCCACGGCCTCCGTTCACTGCTTCCGGGACCATCTCCAGGGGCGGCGGTGCCTGTCCTGGGTCCCCAACTCTCACCAGTGCCCCCAGTGCCGCCCACGCCTTTATCAATGCCATCTGTCACCTGCCAGGGTGTGGGGGAAGGGTGCTCACATCCAGGGCCTTAAGGCACTCAGCTCAACCTTTGCCTTGTACAAAAGGGGCGACCGAGACCCAAACAGAGAGGGTGAGCAACCTGTCCAGGGTCACCAGCCCCCGAGCTGGGACCCAGGGCTCTTGTGGAAGGCTGCAGAGAGCCCAGGGCTGACCACAGCAGGGCAAGGGGATCTGTGTCCCCCACCCCACCTCGCCCCGCCCCGCCCCTGGTCACTTGAGTGCTTCCTCCCAGGCAGGAGCCGGATGTGTAGGCTCCGGGTAATAAACCCATTAGCGCCCTGGACCCTTCCCAGAGCGGGCACCTGGGAGCCCAGCCAGCTCCTCCTCTCCTGACCCCAGCCTGCCTCACGGCACCATGTGGCTGCTCCTGCCCGGGCTCCTGCCACCATCCACCTGGCGCAGGTGCCCTGCGCCCTCTCCCAGCCACACCCCCCAGGGTGCGTCTGCTGGAACCTCAAGCATTCTCCCTGACACCCTCGGGGCTGGGGGGCTGTGCACGTGGTGCACAGGCTCCCTGGACCCGAAACTCAAAGCTCTGGTAGGGTGGGAAAGGGAGAGACAGGTGAGCAAGGAGCCGCTGCCCCAGCGCCCTAACCCACTGCACAGGTGCCAGGCGCCTCGCAGGGGAGGGAACCAGGCTGCTCCTCCGTCCCTGTCCCTGGTCACCGCCCAGAACGAACCAGCAGGCGGGAACTGTCTCTTATAGGCCAGTTCTGAGCTGGGCTCTGTCTGAAGGCTGTTGTGTGCCTTACTTGCAATTCCAGGTTCTGCCACCAGGGGGCGAGAGAGGGCGGGGTGAACGCACCTGCACCCCTATCCTACCTGGCTGCCCTCCCAGCAGGGAGGACGGGTCAGTAGCTCAGAACCCAGAGGTCCTGCAGCCTTGGGGGTCCCTTGCTCAGTGCACTGTCAGTCCAGCAGGAGGAGCAAGGCAAGGCTGGGCTGAGGGTGGCACTGGGGCCTGAGTGCTGGCCCCTGACCAGGAGGGCGGCCGGCAGGACCGGTCAGCAGGATGGCAGTGACGACCACGGTGCCCACACTCAGCGGCCCCGGGAAGCCTGGAGTGCCTGGGCACCTCCAGACCAGCCATGTCCCCCCGGGCTGGCAGACCGAGGCTGACCTAGCCCCCGTCCCCATCTATCCCCAGTCTCAGGAGTCCCCCCACCGCCCCACCCCTAGGATTTGCCCGGTGTGTCCAGATCTCACTGACCACTCTATTTCCGCCACGGGTCCCCCACGGGTTCCCATCACCAGGAACTTTACCCTGAGCAGGAGACCAAGTCCCCTGGGGTCCCGAAACCCTCAGGCCCTGGTGCCCAGGCCAGGCTGTCCCCTGGGTTCCCAGGTCCTGGGGGGAGCAGCTTGGGGCAGGGAGGGCGCAGACGCTGAAGGGCACAGCCTTAGTAGGGCTGGGGCTGTGGCACAGCAGGTTAAGTCGCCACCTGTGACGCTGGCATTCCGTACCGGCATTAGTGTAAAGTCCCGGCTGCTCCGCTTCTAACCCAGGTCCCTGCTGATGGCCCGGAGAAGCAGCGGAAGACGGCCCAGGTGCTTGGGGCCCTGGCACCCACATAGAAGACCCAGATGAAGCTCCTGGCTCCCAGCTCTGGCCTCGCTCAGCCCTGGCCATTGTGGCCACTTGCTGATGCAAGATTCTCTCTGTGTCTTTCCCTCCCTCTCTCTCTGCAACTCTGCCTTTCAAATAAACAGAACAAACAGTTGGGGGGGGAGAGGGAGGGGGGAAGATGGGGGGAGAGAAAGGCCTTAGAACCCAGCAGGAGGGGATCAGCTGTGTGACTTCAGGTGCACCCCTCACTCTCTGGGCCTCAGCGTCCCAATCTGGGAAATGGGCTGGGCTGCATAAAATCTCCATCATGGAACATGAGTGGGTCAAGCCCTTCGTGAGGGGAGACTGGGCCCAGGCTAGGAGGCCCCACCTGGGGGGTCACCTGTGTGGCCCAGATGGCCCACGGAGACCCCTACTCCAGCACAGTGGGAGAAATCACCTCTCTGGCCCCCACTCCCTGCCTCCCCTCTCACTGGCAGAGCTGGAGCCTGAGTAGAGCCGCTAACCTGGAGGGACCCGAGTCTGGCAGGGTGGGGCAGGGGGGTGGTTGAAGCCCCTGGTGGTCCGGGAGCAGCAGGTGCCCTTGCCCACCCAGAGGCCTTGGCGCTGGCTGCTGGCCTGACCGCCGGGGTAGCACACCCAGCTGGCCATCAGCGTGCGGTGGAAGCCTCTCTCGGGGACGCTGGCAGGTGCAGGGATGTCCTGTGTCCCTTGCTGGGGGGCTGAGGGGGGCACCATGGGTAAAATGGTGAGGGCCACAGGGCGGGCTCCACCCCCTTCCCACCAGGTCTGGCCGCCCTGCCCAGGCCAATTCCCCAGTGCACCTGCCCCAGACCACGCCCACCTGACCTCGCTCCTCCCAGCCTCACCTGGGGATGGGGGGAGGTGGGGACGAGGACCTGGTCTGGGGGCCAGAGGGGCCTTCGTGTCCAGCCTTGCTGCCCAGAGCTCAGACCCCACCCTCCCCCGACAGCACCTGCCACAGCGCCCCCAGCCCACCCCCACATGGAGAGGAGCAGGAAGGTGGGTGGGCTTGGTGCTGCCTCCTGCAGCCCCCCTTCCACTCCAAAAGCCCAGGCCAGGGGGCCAGGGGAGCGGGGGACGGGGCTTCATCCCTTGGCCCTCAGCAGGTAGCAGGTGCCTACTATTTGCTTAAAGAGGGAGAGCAGTGGCACAGCCAGGGTGGGGGAGGGAGTGGGGGTGGGGTTGTGTCTCCACCTTCCCACCAGTTTGGGATGGGGGGGGCAGTCATTGGGTGGCAGCTGTTGAGCCAGGGGCTGAGTCCTGGCCCTGAGTCCCACCGGGGACGTCCCACCTGCCTCCTACAGAGGAGTGCTACAGCGATTGTGCACCCGGGTCAGCCACCCCCCTGGGGGACCTAGACTGGCCCAGCCCTGGGGCGAGCTGCAGGACGGGTGACCTGGGGCTGTCTCTGCAGACCACCCAAACCCCAGCCCCCAACCCCCCCATCCGCGGGGGCCTCTGGAGTCAGCTGGGGAGTCTTCCTGCCTGAGCCACAGGGGCACCCTTGCTCCGCCCCCACCCCACTCACCCAGTCCCGTCCCCGGCTAGACCTGGGGCAGCAGCAGCTGGAACCGTCCGTCCCTCTCGGAGCCCCACAGCCAGGCCCAGCTTCCGGGCTCGGCATTCGCACGGGGCTGGGGTTGGCTGCTTCCGGCCCCTCCCAGGTGCCCCTTCCTCCTAGGCAACCGGCTGGGGGCCCAGTCCGCAGGCCCAGGGAGGGGGTCTAGGGACAGCAACCCCCTTCTGTCACCAAGCCGAGCCCGGACACCCCCACCCCACTCCAGAGGGCCAGGGAGGGGCCGCCTGGGCCCCGCTGACCCTGTGAACTCTCTACGCCCTCCGAGCCCCAACTCTGTGATACGAAACTCCTTTTAGACAAGTACAATTTTTAAAAAGTTTTTTTTTTTTTTTTTTAAATTTATTTGAAGGGCCGGCGCCGTGGCTCAATAGGCTAATCCTCCACCTTGCGGCGCCGGCACACCGGGTTCTAGTCCCGGTCGGGGCGACGGATTCTGTCCCAGTTGCCCCTCTTCCAGGCCAGCTCTCTGCTATGGCCAGGGAGTGCAGTGGAGGATGGCCCAGGTGCTTGGGCCCTGCACCCCATGGGAGACCAGGAAAAGCACCTGGATCCTGGCTCCTGCCATCGGATCAGCGCGGTGCGCCTGCTGCAGCGGTGGCCATTGGAGGGTGAACCAACGGCAAAGGAAGACCTTTCTCTCTGTCTCTCTCTCTCACTGTCCACTCTGCCTGTCAAAAAAAAAAAAATTTATTTGAAAAGGAGAGTTGCAGAGAGAGAGAGTGAGCGAGTGAGAGAGAGCTTCCATCCGCCGTTCACTCCTCAAATGACCCAACAACTCGGGTTGGACCAGGCTGGGTCTCTCGCGTGGTTGGCAGGGGCCAGGTACCTGGGCCATCGGCAGAGAACTGGATACGAAGCAGGGGAGCCGGGACGGAATTGGCACTCCCATGTGGGACAGGGCATCGATCATCGGAGCGCTCCGACTAGTTGCTATAGAAATGTCTGTAACCATAGAAACGGGGAAGAACCAGAGAGCAGGCATCGGGCTCAAGTGCGTGTCCCACGGAGCTGAGATTCTTGGCACAACAGTGGGGACAGGGCGTAACCCACGTGCTGGGGTGGGGGCCGCTGATGCAAACACTCCGGCGGCACCACCAGGCTGTGGGGCGGGCGCTGTGGACGCCAGCATCCCGGAGTGAGGGGCTGGGGTCAGCTCCCTGCTGACACACCTGGGAGGCCGCAGGTGACAGCTGAACGACCCTGGGCCCCTGCCACCCACACGGGAGATCCAGGTGGAGTCCCGGCCCCAGCCATTGCAGGCAGTGACGGAAGATCTGTCTCTCTCTGTCTCTGTCACTCTGCCTTTCAAATAAGTAAAAAGTACAGGGGTGCAGCTGTGCAGAGTAGAGAACACTGGACAGTGACGACAGGCGACTGTGTTACTGGCTTCTGGATGTACGATATGCATTTTGCGCCGTGGACCTTGGGTTCTATGACACTGTCCCCAGGGGCCTCGCTGGCTACAGAGGGGACATCCCCAGGCCCCCTTCCCCTGGGGACCAGCTCCACCCAGGCCTGGCCACCTGCTGAGCGTTCTGGACTCCTCTCCTTCCTCTGCCACCCCCAGCACACCCCCCCATACACACGCATCATGGCAGGGCAGCTCCCCAGTGCCCTCGGCTCCTCCTCCTCCCCCCCTCAGCCCCACTAACTCCACCCTCCCTTCAAGACATGGCTCAGGGAGGTAGCCACTTGGGACTCCCACATCCCATATCCGGCGGCCTGGGTTCAAGTTCTGCCTCCGTTTCCAATTCCGGCTTCCTGCTAATTTGCATACTGGGAGGCAGCTCAAATTGGTGGGTCCCCCGCCACCCACGTGGGAGACCCCGGATGAAACTCCTGGCTACCCCCTCCGCCCCCGCGTGACCCCTGGGGTCAGCAGGTTGCTCTGGGTTGCCCCGCCCCCTGGTCCTCCCGGCCACGCCTCTCACATGGACAGAGCAGTGAGCAGGGTCTCCGGGGGGTGGCTGACCAGGGCTGGGCTGGGGGGCTTTTAACCACGTCCCGGGGGTCGTGGGCTCCACCGCCCTGTGCACTCCCAGGGGCGGGCTCCACCTGCAGAAAGGCACCCGAGACACCTGGGCTTGGGGGGTCTGCGAGGGGCTGGGGTCGCGGGAGAGGTCTGCAGGCACCAGGGAGTCCTGGGCTCCCCCGAGACGCGGCCCCGGGTGCCGAGCGCATTCAGGGCCACAGGGAGGAGCCAGCCGATCCGCATTTATTCACGAGGGCCCGCGCCGGGCTCCTGAGGGAGCTGGGGACACTGGGTTCCGTCGCGGCGTGCGGCGGTGCAAGCCCGGGGGCCTCCGCTTCTCCAGGCCGGTGGTCCGCACCTCTGCAGGCCTGTGAATACGAGTGCGCTTGCGCGCGGACATCTGGCAGTGGTGCACCAGCGCCCCCGTGTGGCTGAGGCGGGAAGTACCGGCCTTGGGGACGAGCTGTGGTTTGCTGGTTTAGAGCGCGCATTCTTGCGGGTGATGGGGGCGGGGATGCCAGCGAGCCTGATGGGGCCCCAGGGCAGTGAGCTGTCCAGGGTCAGAACTGGCTGTGCTGGAGGTCCGTGTCTACCACTGCATACAGCAGGTGCTCAGGGGAGTGGATAAAGGCATGAGCCAGGGGTTTGTGCAAGAGGGTTGGAGGTGGGGATGGACTGATTCTCCCCTCTCCTGCCATGGCCCATCCCCACAAAGGGCCTGAGTCCATGGACAGTGGAGATGTCCCAGAAGCCCTCACCCCGCCCCAGCTGCCGACGGGCAGGACAGAGGGACAGAGCGGGCTCAGGCCGACGGTGCGCACAGACAGCCCCCTGCCCTCCGCAGGCCTCCTGGGATGAGCAAGCTTCCGGGCAGGGCACCCTGTCCACCTGCCTTCCCTATCAGGGAGCTCAGGCAGAAGAGAGGTAGGGACAGGGTGGGCCTGGCCACGGCGCTGCCCTGGGAGCATGCTGGGCACAGAGACCAGCTCAGGGGCTGAGGCTGGGGAGGGGGTCCGGGCCCGGCTCACAGCCCACGGGCAGAGTGGCGGCCTCGCTGGGCGGGATGTGATGGGTCGCGTAGCGCGTCTGTCTGAAGGAGCCGATCCGCAGCTGCTCAGGGGTCTCGCCTGGCCACCACAGGCTGGAGCTGGACAGGGAGAAGGGGGAGAAGTGCCACGTCCCTGCTGCTGTGCCCCTGGGCAGCCGGACGCCTGCCTCCTCCAGGAAGCCGCCTTGACTATCCTGGCATCAAAGCCAGGCGGAGAAGGGCAGGGCCAAAGACAGACACCCCGGAACCTGCCCCGAGCGAATCCCATGGCCCAGCACCCGAGCCGCAGTGTGGACAGAGGGTGGGAGAGGGGCCCATGGTGGGGGGTGTTACCACTCACAAGCGCACGGTGGAGGCAGCCAGGAAGGCCAGCAGCAGGAGGCCGGCCAGGGTGCAAAGAATGGAGGTGATGACGATCATGCCACCGCTGCGCCGTCCCGGCCACGTGTCGATGGTGCCCGGGGCCTGCCCTACACACAGGGGCTGCTCGCAGGCCGCCGGTCCCCTGCCTCCCTCAGCCCCGTGTCCGCACAGCCCAGGGCTCCCAGCCCCCTACTCCCACCTCTGCATCCTGGCGCAGGGGGAGGGCCCAAGGGAGCACCCGACCCCCAGGGGCTACCTTGGCGCAGAGTGATGGGGTCCGACCACCTGGTCTCGGCCACCGGGGAGCCACCGGCGTCCATCAAGAGGAACTTCACTCTGGGGACAGGGATGCAGTGGGGGACGAGGGGTGAGACTCAGGGCAGCCGGGCCCAGAGGTGGAGGTGGGGCTGTGGCCAGGGGTGAGCGGGAGCCACGGACCCGGCTGCTGGCACCGAGGGGAGCTGGCTCTGGTGGCCGCTGGGGGCGGGGGTTAGGCTGGAGGCTACACCACTGGCAGAGTAGGTGAGAGGGCAGTAGGAGGCGGTGGCCAGGCGCTGTCCTGCTCCCCCCACGCTGGGGGCCAGCTCCAATCTGCAGACACCTGCCTCGCCCCCACTTGCCGCCGCTGCCCCACACCAAGGGTGCCAGGCTTTCCCGGGCTGGGCTCAGCCCCAGGTTTAGCTTCCTGTTGGGATCCAGCCTGAAGCCACTTGGCTAAGCTGGTTCCCACCTCTGTCCCTCGGACCTCCTGCCCCTGAAGTGGAGGGGTGGGGAGCAGGGGTGAGGAAACCATGGCGGGGGGGGGGGGGAGGGGGAGGGGCAGACACTGGACTGCAGCCAGGAAGGGGTGGGGCCCTGAGCTCCCCGTCCTAGACACCCCTCCCCCCAGAGACAGCCCCAGTGCCAGAGCCCTCCAGGGGGGTGTGGGGTGGGCAGGGGCAGGACCCCCACCTGTAGGGCCCCGGGCCGGGGAGCGGGGCGTTGCAGTACAGCCGCTGCCGACAGCCGAAGTCATTCCCCACCCGCAGCAGGGCGACAGGGCCACCGCCCCCCGGGGGGTCCTCACAGGGCAGCTGGGCCAGCGACAGGGGCAACGTCATGTAGTGGCCGTGGGTATGCAGCTGTGGGGAGGCCGGGATCTCAGCCTGTGTCTGCGGGTTCCGGAAGTCCCTGGAGGCTGGAGGGCAGCGGGATGAACAGTGGGGTGTCGGGGAGAGACAGGCCTGGCTGTGTGGGTGGGGGGTCCCGACTCCACCCGGCCTCAGCGCCCTCCGGGGTAAAGCCCGCCTCTCCCCTCCCCCAGCCTCCATCCATGGAAGGGCCCGGCAGGTGTCCCCAGCCCCCCACTCCGCAGGGCACCATTGCTGAGGGCCACCACGAGCCAGACGGTGCCGGCCACTCCGGCGTGCCGGTCGAAGACGCAGCGCGGCTGCTCCAGCGAGAACGTGGTGGCCGTGACCTTCCCTTCCAAGTCCCAGGCGGTCATCTGCGGCGTGTAGGGGATCTGCTCTGTGGCCGTGGGGGTCGAGTAAGAGTGGTAGCAGGTGCAGATGGGCCCCCCGCCCCGGGCTCTGGACTGCTGCCCCACCCCCAGTCCTGGGACACCCCCCACCCCACTCACCCAGGCTGAGACACAGTAGCACCCAGCTCGGTCCCGCCAGGATCAGTAGCCACAGGCCAGGCCAGCTTCCCAGGAGCCTCATGACCGCCTGAAGCCTCAGGGGCTGCTCTGGCTGCCCCCGCCCCTCCCCGGACCTCGGGCCTGGACCAGCTGGTTAGTCAGGCTGCCCGGGAGGGGGAGGCCAGGGCATCAGCTCCTCCCTCCCCCGGGAGGAGGAGGAGGACTCAGCCGCTGGAACCTGAGGCTCAGGGCCTCATGCCTGAGATTCCTGCTCCTCTGGTGCCAGGAGCCTCCCCCTGGCGCCCCATCCCCACCCAGGGAGCGCAGTGGGAGCAGAGGGCAGAGCGGCCGCACCCTGCCTGCCCAGTCCTCGGGACGAACTTGCACCCTGACGGTGGTGACAAACCCTCCGCTCACGCTTGCTTCTTCCTTCTGCTTTTGTAGAGTTTTGGAGACGAAATTCACCTAGCACAGAACTCACAGCTCAGTGGACTTCAGTATGCATCAGCCACCACCCCCATCCTCGCCATCCACAGCCCCAAAGTAGGAGACGGAAAATTCCAGAAACGGATGTGCTTCGTTCTGAGTGCCACAGCGCAACCTTGGGCCACCCTGCTGTGTCCAGCTGGGGCGGGGGCGTGAGCCAGCTCTTGCCCAGCGTGTCCACTCTGTGGACACTGCCCTCCTGTGTGTCACCGGACTCTGCAGGGCTGAGCTTTCTGCTCTATTGCCAGCCACAGCCCGGGGTCTAATACGTAGGGAAAGTCATCGCATGTACGCACAGGAACACAGTCTCAGGCACTCAGAGGGCGGGGGGTCCGGGGAGGGTCCCGTCCTCTGCCAAGTTACTCCTTGTCCTGGGGACATCCTCTGTAGGTCACATGCGGCTTTTGGTGTCTGAATCCTCCCGTCCCGTTCAAGGCCGAGCAGCGTCCCACAGCGGGGACACGCCTCACTGGCCACTTCCTGCGGTTGGGCCACATTTTGGCCATGGTGGGTCCTGTCGCCGTGAACAGTGACCTACAAGCCTCTGGTGGGCACGCTTGCAGCCCCCGACACAAGGTCACCGGGGTCTGAGGGTCCAGCTGTGTGCGTCCTGTCCTTCGGCACCTGGGCCATCGCGGTGGGCTGGATTTGCGTGTCCCCGAAGGCTGACCCTGGCCACCTCCCTGTCTTACAGCAGCGTCCAAGTCCTTGTCACCCGCTGTTAGGCCTGCTGGCTTCTAGAGTCCCCGATGCTCTCACTCCGCGTCACCCATGCTGCCGGAGCTTCTCCCACCCCTGGCTCAGCCTCCCCGGGTGGGGGGAGCCGACGGGGGCCGCACTGGGGGTCCCCAGGCTCGAGGTCTGGGGTCTCCACCGGGGCCCAGCTGCCCTGTCCTCCAGGCCACTCAGGGCCCTGGCCCAAACACCCGCGCTGGCCTGTGCGAGGCCTGGACGTCCTACAATTAGAAGGGGAAAACGAACTGCTCGACGGGAAAAAACACATGCATCTTCCCACCAGAGGTTGCAAAATAGAATTTATTGTATTTTCAATAGAGAAGGGGGCTCCCAGAGGCAAAGGTGCCCCTGGCCCCCAACAGGCAGGCAGCAGGGTCCTGTCCAGGGCAGCTGACCGTCCTAACAGGGTCACGGAGTCGGGACGTGCAGGACGTGGTCACCCAGCCTGGCCTGGCCACCGGCCCCGGCCCCGGCCCCGCCACCCGACGCAGCTGAGCCTCGGCCAGCACCGCCCGCCCCTCCAAGCCCCCACTTCTCGGCAGCACACTCGCTAGCATGGGACGGCTGAGACGGGCACGGGCCCTGTGCAGGGGCTGACACACAAGTTCCACCGAGAGAGAGGGCAGCCCGGGAGCGGCCGCTGTGGGCGTGCAGCGTGCAGGCTCGGGCCCCAGGGAGTGGCCCGCGTCCACGGCTCACGGGTGCTCCCGTCTGCTTCTCAGATGGGGGCTGAACGGGTGGCAGCTGAGACCCTGCTCCGATGCAGCGGGCACTTGGCCAGCCGCCAGTGGGGTTGGATCTCACACACACACACAGACACGCACACACACAGACACGAGACATGCACACGCGCGCACACACACACATACACACACGCTCTCTGCTGACAATCATCTCAGGGCCTGCTGACTTTGGCTATCGGGCATTTATTGCAAACAAAATCTGAGGTAAAAGAAGCTGACCTGGAACCCATGCCCGTCCCCGGCTGGGCTGGGTGGTCTCTGCCCCCGGCGGCGCCAGGCCCCAGGCCCCATGGCCCAACACAGCCTCCGGAGGACAGAAGGACCCAGCGCACTGAGGTAGCTGCGGGTAAGCCCCACCAGCACAGCCTGGGGCTGTCTGCTCCCCACACAGACCCCCGCCCAGAGGGGAGGGGGAGGGAGGCAGGGCCAGGCCGCAGTCTGGCTTCCCGGGGAGCACCCTTGTCCAACGTCCAGCCTCAGGAAGGCACCTTCCAGCCCGCCCACCCGCCCGCCCGGGCAGCAGTGGGCGTCACTGCTGCTCCAGGCAGTCCTCGGTCACGCCCTGGGCAGCCAGCTCGGCCAGCACGTTGGGCAGGTAGTTGGGGTCGGGGTAGCCGTGGCCGGTCACGTTGCGGTCCATCTCGGTCTTGTGGTGGATCTCGTTCCACACCACCGTGTCAGTCTCGCCCGTGGTGCTGGACGTCCCGACCGTGAAGATGAGGCGCCTCTTCCAGGCCACTTTCAGGAGCTCCAGGACCTGCCGGGGACGGGGGTGGGGGTGGGGCTGGGGCCCGGCGCTGGCAGGGGCCTCCACCATCACCCCACCTGGGCGCTAGACTCCGACAGCCAACCTGACAGCCCCACAGGCCCTCCCGCCTCGGCCACCAGCGCTGCCTTCCACTCGGGCTCCAGCCAGAACCCGGCACCCTCCCGGCCGAATCCTGGCCTCGCTGCCTCCGCCCCCGGCCACCAGCTGGGCCACCTCGAGCAGGGCCTCTGCGGCGCCCGGGGAGCTCTTCCGGACGGGGCACTGGCGCAGCCCCCACAGCCGCAGGCGGGCTCCTCCCGCCCTCTCCTAGGAGGACTCCCTGGCTGTCCTGGGGGCCTCGTCCCGCGAGTGGCCTGTGGCCATCCTGACTTCAAGGCTTGCTGGGGGCCAGCCTCTCCTGCTCACTTGAGCCCCAGTGAAGGCCGGGCCACCTCTCCTTGGTCCTGGCCCCAGTGCAGGTGCCCAGAAGCAGTGGCAGAGAGCATGTGGGGCCTTTTACCTTGCGGCCCTGGGCGTTGTCTGGAAGATAGCACTGGCGGGGGAAGCCTCTGGCGGTGAATGGCTTTCCAGGGTTGGGGTGCTCGGGGCCCTGCAGGGACACACAGACAGCAGGAGGGAAGTGCTCCAGGAAGGCCCAACTGGCCAGCCACAGGGGCTCATAGTACATGGTCAGACCTCCTAGGCCAGGGACCACTCAAGCTCCCACGTGACCAGATACAGCCCAGCCCTTCAAGACCCAGTGTGAATGCGGCCCCACCCACATCTGCCCTCCCTGGAACCCACGCCCCTAGGCCGGGCCTGAGTCTGCTACCTTCCCCCTCCCCGTGGTACCAGGAACCCTGGAGACCACCCCCAATTCCTGGGCCTGGGCTTTTTTTTTTTTTTTTTTTTTTTGAGCCCACCCATAACACCCATCAGGTGCCCCAAGAAATGGATGGAGGGGCCAGCTCCGTGGCGCAGTAGGTTAATCCTCCGTCTGTGGCACTAGCATCCCATATGGGCGCCGGTTCTAGTCCCGGCTGCCCCTCTTCCAATCCAGCTCTCTGCTATGGCACCCACATGGGATATCAGGAAGAAGCTCCTGGTTCCTGACTTCGGATGGGCACAGCTCTGGCTGTGGCAGCCATTTGGGGAGTGAACCAACGGAAGGAAGACTTTTCTGTCTCTCCCTCTCACTGTCTATAATTCTACCTCTCAAATAAATAAAATTAAAAAAAGAAAAAGAAATGGATGGAGCAGGGGCCCAGAGGCCAACTTGATGGACAGGCAGATGGGGTAAGGGGTGGAGCTACAGGGCCACACCCACATGACCCCTCCAGGGCGCTGTCAGGAGCATTCACTCTGAGCCCATGGAAGAGAAGGGAACCCCCACCCACACCCTGGAGGTGGGGGCAACCATGTGATTCAACAAAACCCACCCCTGTCCACGGGCCCGGTCCCCGCTGCCCCCAGTGTTCCCACCTGCTCCAGGCTTTGAAATCAGTCCTGGCTCAAAGCAGAACCGAAGTGCCAAACCTCCTGTCCCTGAGCCTCTGGGGCCTCGCGCTTGGATTCCCGACATCCAGCCCTGGCCCTGCCACTCCCATTCCTGCCTGGATCTGGCCACTGAGCTGGGCTCTCGGGAGCAAGGGTCCGGCCCTACTCCACAGCCCCTCCCCGCCGTGCTCGGGCACCCGGAGGGCTCCCCGGCTCGCCAAGCCCTCTGCTTGCCCTCTGCCGTGCTCAGGGCAGTGAAAACAACCCCCCTGGCTCAGGGAGGGGCTGAGCGCCACCTCTTTGCCGCCGCAGCCCCAGAACGCGGCACAGGGGCTCCTGAGGTCCAGTCCTGACCCTCCCTAGGCAGGCCTTCAGGGAGCTGGGCGTCCTGGCCCCGTCCGGGGCATGCTGGGAAAGGCGCGGGCCCTTACCTGGATGCCGTGAGCAATGCTGTAGACGATGAGTATCGTCCCGCAGTCCTCGTGGCCCGGGAGCGACACCTGGAACTTGAACACCTCCATCTTCCCCTGGGGCTGGGTCCCGGTCTTCTCTCCGTAGATGGCCTTGCAGGAAGGGCACTGCAAGCTGCCGTCCTGGAAGGAGGAGAGGCCCAGACTGAGGGGGAGGGGCAGGAGCAGGCCGGCCCTCAGCGCCTGGAGCCCCGGAACTCCTGAATGGAAGCGCAAACGCAACACTTGATCCGCTGCACGCTGGCCGCGCGGGGCGGATGAGGCACTGCAGAGAGGACCCGCCGCAGGAGTCTGCCCCGCCTTCGACACTGATGGGAAAAACCACCTCCCGAGAAGGCAGCTCTTGGCGTGTTTACAGCACAGTTATCGATGAAGATATTGTTCCGAGCAAGGAAGTGCTGGGCTGCATTAACATCCTCGGGTGCGGCCTCCTTCTCTTAAATGAGGTGGGACTCTGGTGCCTGCTGGCCTTGAGCCCCGGGCCCCACTTCTCTGTTTCCCCTACTCATTCGGCTCCTCTGCGTCGGCCCCGTTCACCAAAGCAGTTCCGCCAGCCAGCAGGGCCAGAGTGGCCGCCGCGGGAACTGGTTCACGCCCTCCTTCCATAAGGGTCCACTCCAGCTCAGCTCCACCACAGAGCAGCCATGCCTCAGCCCTGTGTCTGCGTGTGGGCTCGGAGCCCGGCTCTGCACCTCCCGGCAGGGGACCCTGGGCATGGCGAGGCTGTCCTGCTTCTAGGAGGGGCCAGAGCTCCCGGCCTAAGGCAGGGGCGAGCTCAGCTGAGCTTTCTTGAGGGCCACTCGGTCAGCCCGTATTGCCGCCCCCTGCCCGGCAGCTGCCCCCCACAGCAGCATGGGGGGCGTCACCCCAGCCCGCCCCTGCCCCGGGCACCTTGTTCCCGTTGCAGTACATGGCCAGCAGGCACAGCAGGTGGAAGGCGTGGCTGCACTTGGCGAGGCGGCCGACGGCCACGGGCCCCATGGTCTTGCTGTCGGTCACGTCGCTGTACCCAGATGCCGCGGACAGCTTCTCCATGCAGATGATGCAGTCCTGGAGGGGACCAGACACAGGGCGCGCTCGCCAGTGCTCGGCCAGAGGGCAGGCGGCGGAGAGGCCTCCACTGACTAAAGCCGGCTGCCGTGCCACGGGCGAGTGACTGGCACGCAGGCCCTGGAAGGACTTGGCAGAAACACAGGCCTGAGGTGGCAGAGCGCGCGGTCGCGTGCCCACGACGAGGCCCTGGGAGCCGGGGGACTGTGTGGAGGACTAGACCAGGCACCTCCAGGGGGCGCAGGGGGAACGGGGCACAGGAGACGGCCAGGCTCTGGGGCTCTGACTTGAGGGGTTTTAAATGGGGGCTCTCAGAGCTCAGACAGGAGCCCGGGGCAGGACAGGACAAGTGTGTGGGAAGTGGGAGTGCAGGGGGGCGAGGGGAGTGCAGGAGGCCGGCTCCAGGCCCGGATCCAAACCTGTACTGACCACATGACTCTTGGCCCTCCAACTGCAGGACAGAGGGGAGGTCCAGAGCCCTGGGTTCTGCATGGAGCAGGCCGACTTCGACCTTCCCCACCCACCACCCCCAGGGCTAGGGCCCCCAAAACATGGCTGGGCACTGAGGTCCAGGTTCCACTGGGGGGCTGGGTGGACACAGCCTGCCTGTCCCCAGGACCCCCGACTCCCAGGTGATGCGGAAGGCCTTGGTCAGGACCACAGCTCGAGAGTGGCCAAGCCTGGCCACCCTGGGAACGCCTGGCCCCTCTGCAGTGCTAGATCAGGCACCTGGGCACGCGCCCCGCAGGCAGAGGGAGACCGGGGTCCTCCGGGGCTGGCGCCCGCCCGGCACACACCTCATCGGGGGGCGACTTCAGCTCCTCCGTGTACTTTCTGATCACCTGCTCTGGCTCTGGCTTCGGGGTCCCCCCTGGAAGAGACAAGAACAAAAGTGGGGCCCCTGGGAGCAGGAACTGGAGAGGGCGAGGATGCCAGGAGGAGGAGGAAGTCCAAGCTGCGGGGAGGAAACGTCAGAAGGGCTCAGACAGAAGGCAGCGTGCAAGGCAGGACAGAACATTCTGGAGCCCTAAGCCTGCTCAGGCCGCCCACTGGAGGAGCAGCACGACCCGCTCGCTGAGCCGTGAGGGAGCGGGCTCTGGTGGCGCGGCTTCCTTCAACCTCCATTACTCCCGCAGGGGGACGGGGGCATGGGATGGGGGGGTTCGAGTAGGCATGGCTTCCTTCAACTTCCATTACTCTAACAGGGGCACGGGGGGCGGTTTCGAGTTGGCGTGTGCCTGGAGCCCGCATGCGGTACTGTGCACGCTGTCACCACGGACCGCCTGTCTGGGAACACGGTGGGTCTCACACACCCACAGGGCGGGGATGAGCAGGAAGCGCACCCTGGCTGCCCTGCTCCTCACCTGCGGGCAGGTCTGTGACGCCAGGGGGAGCCTGCACCTGTGACGGGTTAGGCTGCTACTCAGGATGCTCCGGGGGGCCCGTGTGAACCCCTCTGCAGTCTGCTTCCTTCAGCTCCCTGCCGACGCCCGGGAAGACAGTGGATGAAGCCCCGGTACTTGGGTCCCCGCCACCCACAGGGAACTCCTGGCTTTGCCTACCCCTGGCTACCGTGGACATTTGGGGAATGAGCTAATGGACAGGAAGCTCTCTCTCTCTGCCTCTCCTTGTCACTCTGCCTTTCGAAAATAATTAAAAAAAAAAAAGACAGAAAGAAAGCAGTAACTGCCCCACCTAGTGGTGAGAGAATTGGCATAGCCCAGGCTTCCCCCAGGTGTCAGCAGCAAAATCACGAGTGGTGGCCAAGCCCAGGCAGGGAGACCAGGGCAGGGAGGCCACGGCAGCCCCACGGAAGGCACCCAGGCAGAGGCTCGTCATTTCCCACCGCGGTCCTCCTCTCAGACCAGAGTGGCTCGGGTTTGAACACAAGCTCCCAGCTGTCACCTGTGGCAGCCAACACTTGGAAGCCGGAGCCTCGGCGGCTGTGCCTGCTGTGACGGGGTGGGGGGGGGGGGTTCTGCAGAGAGCCCAGAGCACACAGGCTGGCGTGGGGACGTCGGGCCACCCGCGTCTCCGTTCCCTGGTCTGAAAGGTGGATGCCCAGCTGCTGGCAAAGCTGACCTTGGATCAAAGGCAGGAGCTGCTGACCCAGACACCCCACCTCCTCTACACCCCGAGACGCTCTTAACCCGCACGGACTTGGAAGAGTTTGTGGAAAACAGAATTAAAAGATTAAGTTTATTTTGAAATTCATGCATACTGGAGGGGGAGGTCTTCAGAAAGTTCATGGAGAATGAGCTTTATGAAAACAGTCGCAGATTTCAGTTTTTTGCACCACAATACATTCACCTTTCAACTCCATTTTTCCATGAACTTTCTGAAATATCCTGGTACACATAACCATCCACACGCAGCCCCCTCCCACAGCCCTGCGCCCCCAGAGGCCTCCAGGACCACACTCTGCTCACTGGGCGAGAACGATCCCTGTCCGTGGGCACGCTGTGACTGCGGAAGGCTTGGCAAGCCCCTGCCCCTCCATCTACCGGGAGCAGCCCCGCCCACCTCCGTATCCCCTCCCCCCTGCATGCGGTCGCTTCCTGAACTGCAAGGCTCTTTCCACAAGCTGCGTCCCTCCCAGGGGCCAGGCCAGAGGACCACCAGCCCCGGGAAGGCCCAGGGTCTGTCAAGAGCCAGGGGGAGATGGTCCCCACCTCCAAGGTCAAGTGTGAGTGCAGTGTGCAGAGCCCGGGCCTCGCCCCTGGCCTGGGGGTGGGGGTGGGGGTGGGACCACACCGGACTAGAGCAGCCAGCACTAGATCGTGCCAGGGCCCGATTCCTCTTCCTCACCAACACACTGAGGCAGCAGGTACAGCTCAGCAACAGAGAACCTGCGTCAGATCCCAGAGCAGGCCGAAATCTCACTAGTGCAGGACCCTCCACACAAACCTCAAAGCCGCCAGCACGCCCCCGGCTCTGCCACCCTTCTCCCTGGCTGCTCGACCCTCGGGGCCCCTCTCAGGTAGCCACACAGGTGGCCAGGCAGGGCAGCGGGCCAGGCTCACTGCCTGGTCACGGCCTCAGCCGATGGGACACAAGTCCCCTCCCTGGTCCTGACAAGGTCCTAGGTCTCACCCACACTTCAGTGTTCACTGGGGTCCTCAACAATAGCCCTCTCACTGCACCTGTGCCGGGAAGGATTCCCAGGGGCCACCCCTGCTGCTGACCAAGGACAGGCAGAAGGGCCGCGGAGGGCCCTGGAGGGGAGAGGAGAGCGATGGCGCAGGACAGTCAGAGGCAGCGAGGCTCGAGGCGGCTGGGCAGAGGCCAGAGAGCGCGTGCGAGCAGAACTACCTTTCACGGCCATTTTCCTCAATCTCTTAACTGAGCTGTGACTTTTAGAGGCCAGGCGGGAGGCGGGAGGGCTGGTGGGCTGGGGTGCGCGGCTAAGACACACAGGGAGTCCAATGGCTGACATCAGCACACTCGTCATGCCTACATGGGTGCGAGACCAGACATGCAGGGAGGAGACATGTTAGAAGGAGGCATTCGCCACGTGGCAACCACAAACCCTGCCGAGCCCCACGTGGCTCTGAACGGCCGTCAGGACCGGCACATCTCCCTGGGGCGTCTGACCTCTGCAGGCAGCCAGGGTCCGCCACGGCCGGTGGGACAGAGCTCCAGGCCTGGGAGCTGGTGCCCATGTCCCACAGGCCTCTGCGCAAGCAGCCGCCCAGCCCATGCCCAGAGCATGCAGGGGGACAGGCCCACTGCTTCAGGAGGGCAGAGGCCAGGGCGCACCAGCAGCCTCAGCAATTCTGGGCGGCATCTCCCAGTGCCCAGCACGGGGAAGCAGAACAGGAGAGGCGACGTGGCAGGGCACAGCCGAGCTCTGAGGACAGGACAGGGGCTGGCTTCAAGGGCTGTCCTCCCCAGTGCCCCCGGTCACCCTGCCCACGGGTGCTGCCTGCCTTCCGTGCTCATCCAGTCTATCCGGGTGCCACGGCCTTCAGGGACCTTGCTGGGGTGTGCACATGTGAATGCTGCCCCTCGGGCACCACAGTTAGGCGTCCCTGGTGCCTGTGACAGCCCTGTTGGAGCAGCAACGCTCCCAGACTGCAGCCTGCTTCCCTGGTGCCCCGGGGGAGGTGGCAGAAGCAGGCAGCGGTGCTGATGGACAGAGAGATGGCCGCTCTCCCCAGAGCTCACTGTGCCCCATGCTGGGGGAGCTTGCCTGGCTGGGCCCTCACCCCAGGCGGCCGTCTACACTCCCTGATGGCCCTAGGGTGCTCACCTGCAGACAGCCTGCTCCTGTCACATGCTCGGCCTACCTGGCTGTCAGTCCCACTGCTCAACTGCACCACCCCAGGGAAAGGCTCTCAGCCTTCCGGCCCCGGGGCTGGGCACAGTGGGGTATCTGGGCCTCCAGGAAATCCAGGGCCCCACTCCCTTCTAGGACAGGCCTGGGCAGACAGCACCGCTCCCACCAGAGAGGATTCAGAGAGGGGAAAGGCGGCCAGGCAAGTGGCTGCGGCTTCTAGAAAAACAAAGGCGCTCAACCCGACCTAGGTGCCCGGCTGGGGCCAGCCGAGGCCAGCCACCAGCCTGGGTGGCCCAGCCAGTCGTGCCCAGGGCTCCGCGGCAGCCGCTCAGTAGGAAACTCGCTCAAGGGCTCGCCAGGAGACCGAGCCTCAGGCCGGGGCTCGGCTGCTGCCCTGCACCCGAGCTGGGCCCCTGTTCTCGGTCACCAACAATGCTGCCAACACCCCAGAGCTGTCCCTGGGCTCAAGTGCAGTTCCCTTGGGAACCCAAAGTCAGGTGGGCAGAACCTCAAGCAGGCACAGGTGGCAAGAGTGGGCGAGCAGGGACAGGTGCACTCCCCTGAAGCGAGCCCTGGGCCTCTGTCCTGACCTTGTCCTCCAGCAGCCCTCTGGCACTCCCTCTCCGCCCCACCTACAAGGGCCACGGCCCCCTCACGCTCTGGCCATTGAAATCACTCCTGTACCTGCTCTGGCTCACTGACGGCTGTCTGTCAGCATAGGCTGAGGATACGGCACTTCCAGGGCAGTGCCGGGCCCACGGGAAGCCCTCAGGTAGCCCGTGGAACAAAGCCGCCCACCGTCAGCCACCACCACTGCCTGCCCTGCCCCACACAGGCCCTGCCCCTGAGCTCAGGTCAGACAGAGGCCTCGCCACTGGGGCCTGGACAGGAAGCAGCCGGGCTCTGTAGCTCTGCCTTTCCGTGGCGAAGTCTGAGCCCCCCATGCCCAACACTGCACAGAAGCAGCACACAACGGGTGGGAGGAGCATCACGGTGCCACGCCTCCTCACCGTGAGGGCTGAGGGACACCCCTAGACTCCTGCACCCCTCAGATAACTGGACAACTCCAACAGCCACCACTGCCTGCTGTCCTTACCTGCCAGGGCCCCTAGAGAGCGAAGACCCCGTGCAGACTCATTTCCCAATCTGCCAACTCCAGGGGCAGCCCTGAGTACACTGGCCTTGGCTGGGACCGAAGCCTGTCCTCAGCCCCTGGCCTCCCCGACCCCGTGTCCTCCCCACGTGACCCCTGCTTCCTCCCTGCAGGGCAGGCGGCGGCCAGGTGACAGTCCCAGAACCAGGCTGTGCCCCACAAAGGAGACGGCTAGGTAAGGCCAAGCACCCCCAGTCCACAGCCTGGACACCTGCCTGTAAAACCCCGCCCCCGGCGCTCGACTCCTGGAGCCGTAAGCACAGCGCCCAGTGAGACCACAGGCTCCTCCTGCTCCCCGGGAACTGGCCAGGACCCCCTTTCCCCAGGGCCCTAAACACAGCTCCCACCAACCTGAAACACAGGGCAAGCAGCTGTCCTGGCCCAGCCAGGAACAAGTTCCTGTCTCCCCGATGAGAGCTAGACAGAGGTTTAAAAGCCCTGACTACGGGCTGCATCTGGCACAGCAGCCAGGACGCCCCTTGCGACACCGGGCTGCACCCCTCACTGGGGTGCCTGTGTTGAAGTCCAGCTTCCACTTCTGATCCAGCTTCCCGCACATGTGTCCCCTCAGAGGACTTGGGTCCTGCCATCCGGGTGGGAGACCCAGAATGAACTCCTGGCTCCTGGCTTCATGAGCCTGTGGCACGCCTTTGAGTACACCAGCAGACAGATCTGTCCGTCTCTCTTTCAAGTACAAATGAATATACATAAAAATTAACAATCCCAGGGCTGGCGCCGGGGTGAAGCAGGTTAAAGCCCCAGCCTGCAGCACCAGCATTCCATATGGGCACTGGTTTGAGTCCTGGCTGCTCCACTTCCGTTTCAGCTCCCTGCTAATGCACCTGGGAAAGCAGCAGAAGATGGCCCAAGTGCTCGGGCCCCTCGGCCATGTGGGAGACCTGGAGGAAGCTCCTGGCACCTGGCTTCAGATTGGCTCAGCTCTAGCTGTTGCAGCCATTTGTAGAATAAACCAGTGGATGGAAGATCCGACTGTCGCTGCCTCTAACTCTTTCAAATAAATAAGTCCTTTAAAAAAATTAAAAATCCCCAGATAGCCCAGGACTGCTCCAAGAGCCAGTGTGACAGGGACACTAAAGATCATCTGGATGGGGCCAGGAGCCGGCCCTCAGCCTCGGCAGCGGAGGAAAACCCAGGCCCACTGAGCTCCACTCAGGCGGCTACGGCATCTGTGTCAGTGCCTGGGTCGCACTCCTCTCCCTGCCAGGCTCTGCGCAGAGGCTGGTGAAGAGCCGGGCCCTGAGCGTAGCCCCTGCTGCTGCACACACATGCACGCGTGGTAGCGGCTGACTCATTAGGGCACCCCAGGCCGCAGGGTGACCTGCGCTGGCGGGAACTGCCAGGCCAGCGCGTCCCGGCTCCGTGCACGGCCCCAGCAGGGGCGCTGGCGGCTGAGGCGGGTTCGGTGCTGCCTCCTGAGCAGGGCTCCCCTCCTGGGCTCCATCTGGGCAACTCCAGCCCTCGCCCTCCCCACAGCTGCCTTCTCTGGACTCCGGGCTGCTCCGTTTGTCCTTCTCTTTCGAGCGTCCTGCCCATGGGCTCTGTGGGCGCCCGCCCTCCCACAGCGGGCAGAGGGCACCGTCCCCCGAGGCTGCCCACCTAAGATGACGGCCATGCACGGGCTGTCCAGGGCCAGCTCCACGGTCTATCACACAGCCACTGCCCATACACTGCTCCCTGGACTCAGACCAGAAACCCAAGGCTGAGCCTCAATTATCTCCTCAAACACAAAATGGGAATAAACCCGTCTCCAGGAGTCCCCTCGGGACGAGGGCACGAGCACACACAAGCGAGGCCCTGCGACGCCCATCACGGCGCCAGCCTGGCGGTGGGGCCCCACAGGCCTCTCTCTCCTACTTCCACTCTTCCCTGGGAACGTTTAAAGCTGAAGCCCCCTCCCCCCAGCCCCCAGGTGACCCTGGCTGTGCAGGAACTTTGGGGAGGGCGCCAACACACAGAAGATTTCTCTCTCTGACTCTCCGCTGCCACTCATTCAAATACATTTTTAAAATCTTAAAAAAAAAGAAAAAAGAAAAAAGAAGATGGACAGATAACAAAACCTCTATGGGGTGGGGAACTTCTCTCCCGACAAGGGCCATTTGTATATTTATATAAACACCACTCTTGGGCCATACAAAATTAGCAACTTAAAAATCAGCCTGCTGTAGACTTGTTCCATTTTGAGTCCCGCCTGTGGTCACTTGGGCAGGCCCAGACCAAACGAATCCTGCAGGTCTTGTAGGGCCCGGGGACGGGACGCGAGGTAACTACAGCCCCGGAGGGCCCCCTGATGGGAACGCTCAAGGCACTCAGGACAGGGAAGCGACTTCACCTGTGACTGAACTGCATGCAAAAGTAAGAACCGTGAGAAGGGCCCACCGCAGGGCGCCTGTCGTCCCGCCCAACTCCCCCAGAGACGAGATGGGCAGCCCAGGACTTGCCCACCTGCCGTCCCGAGGGCCCAGCCATGACAAGGCACCCACCCCAGCCCGGGCCTCCCCACTGCGCCCTGTGCAGGGCACCTACCTGCGAGCGCCTGCTGGACCCGGCTGGGCTTCGGCATCTGCATGGGCACAGCGGCAGCGGCGCTCCCGGGGTTGCTCGAGGGGCCGCTGGGGAGGGAGGCGCTTGGGGAGAAAAGAGAACAAGCTGACGGGGTGGCACTGACTCAGCAGACCAGGGCAAGGGAGCAGCGAGCTAGGACCGGGGACTCGGCCGAGCGACGGCCCCCGCCCCCACCCACTTCTGCTTTGCCCAGCCGCCTCTGCGGGGCAGGGAGGCCCTGGGGTTGGTTTCCCTGGGCAAGTCAAACCCCAGAGACAGCCCTAACGCACTTGAAGCTCACAAGTTTCAGCACACCGAGGGCTCTGGGTGTGAGGAGACTCGGAGAAGGTGGCATCACCAGTACCAGGACCGACCCGTATCGGAGCCCCCGTGACGGGGCTCAGAGGAGGACACGGCTCCACCTCTGCGGGCTTCCAGCCAGAACTGCCCTACCCCAGGCCCATGGGGGGGACTGCACCGGGCACACCCAAACTAAGGGACACCGGACCAAGGCCCTCTTCAGAAGCGGCACGGTTCCCGAAGGCGAAGGCAGGCTGGGCGCCGCTGTTGTCCAGGGAGCGAAAGGAACACAGCTGCGTGCATGGGGGAGCCCTGGGCAGCATCCGAGAATAAAGCAGGGAGGGGAAAACAAATGAAAGCCTTTGGCGGAGGCCACTGCTGTGGTGTGGTGGGTAAAGCAGCGGTTCTAGTCCTGGCCGCTCCACTTTTTTTTGTTTTGTTCTTTAAAAGCTTTATTTTATTTATTTGAAAGGCAGAGTTAGAGAAAGGCCTTCCATTTGCTGGCTGAAGCCAGGAGCCAGGAGTTTCTTCCTGGTCTCCCATGGGGTGCAGGGCCCAAGCACTTGGGCCATCCTCCGCTGCACTCCCAGGCCACAGCAGGGAGCTGGATGGCGCTCACAGGGATGCCGGCATGGCAGGCCGTGATTTTAACCTAATGCCCCACAGCACTGTCCCCTGCTCCACTTCCTGCTAACGGCCTGGGGAAAACAGCAGAACATGGCCCAAGCGTTTGGGCCCCTGCCACCTACGTGGGAGACCCGGATGAAGCTCCCAGCTTTGGCCCGGCTCAGCCCCGGCTGTTGCCACCTTCTGGAGAGCAAGCCTGCAAATGCAGATCTCTCTCTCTCCTCCTGTAACTTTCAGATAAATAAATCTTAAAAAAACAAACAAACAAAAAAACCCACAAGCACACAGTGAGCAGCGCTGTGGCAATGCTAACTTCCTGGTGCTGACGACTGTGTCACAGCCACTGGAGACGTGAGCACCCGGCCAGGTGAGGGAGGCCGACACTGTGCGTCTAACTTTCCTGTAAATCACAACGTAGCACAGCATCAAGGCTCTGGGTTTAAGTAAAGGTCCCACCTCCCACGTGACTATACTCAGCTGTAAAAACGTGGCCAGGCCAGCACTGTGGCGTAGCAGGTAAAGCCACCACCTGCAGTGCCAGCATCCTGTATGGGTGCCGGTTCTAGTCCCGGCTGCTCCACTTCCGATCCAACTCTCTGCTGTGTCCTGGAAAGCAGTAGAGGATGGTCCAAGTCCTTGGGCCCCTGTGGGAGACCTGAAGAAGCTCCTGGCTCCTGGTCAGCTCAGTTCCAGCCATTGTGGCCAACTGAGAAAAGAAGCAGGAAGACCTCTCTCTCCCTCTCCTTCTCTCTGTGTAACTCTTTCTTTTCTTTTTTTTTTTTTTTTTAAGATTTATTATTTTACTTGAAAGTCAGAGTTACACAGAGAGAAGAGAGGTCTTCCATCCACTGGTTCACTCCCCAAATGCCTGCAATGGCCGAAGCTGCACCCTTCCGAAGCCAGGAGCCAGGAGCTTCCTCCAGGTCTCCCATGCAGGTGCAGGGGCCCAAGGACTTGAGCCATCTTCTACTGCTTTCCCAGGCCATAGCAGAGAGCTGGGTTGGAAGCAGAACATCCCATCTGGGATGCCAACACTGTAGGCGGTGGCTTTACCCGCTACACCACAGCGCCGGCCCCAACTCTTTCAAATAAATAAATCTTAAAAAAAAAAAAAAAAAAAAAAAAACACCACATCCAGGAAGGAGCCCTGCACTGCAAACAGGAGGCCAGAAGGCCCAGAGTGTGCCGGCTCTTCCCCCAGTCCCCGGCTCCCTCGGAAGCAACAGGAAGGGTGTGAAATCCTGGCTGGCACACTCCCTACACTGGCGCTCCCCTGGACAGGTCCAGGCCCAGCCTCTGAGGGGTGGCTTGTGTCCACCAGGCTACCCCGACAGTGGTCAGCACCCTCCAGGGCTGCCCCACGCGGGGGACTGCAAGGACAAACCCTCATGCCTGCGGGAGCTGAGGCTGCAGGGCCTCCACAGGGTCCAGAGCACAGCAGGTGCTCCCAGACGTGCCGGGCCAAGAGCATTCTTTCATTTCCATTTCATGGCTGTTCTTCCCAAACTGCCCGTGTGGCGAGGACAGAAAAAGGGCAACCCCACGACGAGGACGGGAATGGACCCAGGGTGCCCTGAGAAGCAAGTGTGGGGCCGGAACCAGTGCACAAGCGTTCGAGTCATTGGGAGCGAGCCCCTCCCCCTTCCTGAGTCTGTTTCAACTCTTCCCAGTCTTTAAAAAGGCTCATGAGGGTCTTTGTGGTTCTGAGGTTCCCCACGTGAGGGCATTCAGGTCTCCCAGGAACACAGCTGGAGCCCTAACTAGGAGGCCAGAGAGCAGAAGCTGGTACATGGTGGGCGTGGCCTCACTGGGCGGGGGAGGGGAGATCCACGGTCCCTTCGAGAGATGGGTTCCCTGGCTGCCCCACAGCATGGAACACATCTGGGGGGAAGCGCTAGTGCCAGGCTCCATCAGCAAGACCACGGCAAACAGCAGGACACCTCCCGTGGGCAGCTCACCTGCGCCTGGGGCCAGGAGCCCAGGTCTGCCCCAAAGCCTCCAAGTATTGCCTCTCCTCAGGTCCCTCCCCTGCGTTTCCCGGCTAGGATCAGTGCAAGGACGCAGCGCCTCCCAGGACAGGTGCTCAAGGAGGACCTCAAAGGTCACCGACCCCCCCACCCCGACACTCCACCGGCTCAGTCCCGCAGAAGGCTCCCCAGTGTGGGGCGCCAACTGTCCCACACAGTGCCCTCTGAGAACTGCTGGGCTGCGCCTGGCATTCCTGCCTGAGACCAGCCGGAGGAGCTCCCACACGGAGCTGAGCACAGACCTGCGACCTCTGAGTCTCCTAGGCAGACAGGGGCGTCACATCCCCGGCTGGGGCAAAGCCTCGGGGCTGCACAGCAGGGCCCCCCACAGCCCTTGCATACGGGAACGCAGGCTGGCGGCCAGCACTGCGCAAGGGAGCACAGGAGAGACTGGCGCCCTGCTGCGGCATGTGTGTGAGCAGCAGCTGCTCCATCTAGGACATGGGGGGGGGGGGGGGGGGGGGGCTCAGGGTGCCTGCATCCTGTATCGGAAGGTCTGGGTTCAAGTCCCAGGTCCGTTCCCAAGTCCAGCTTCCAGTCAGTCAACACCCTGGGAGGCAGTGATGGCTGCACCGGGGCCCCGTCACCCTGGTGGGAGACCTAGACCCAATTCCCAGAACCTCCTGGCTTCAGCCTGGCCCAGCCCCAACTGTTGGGAGCACCTGTGTCTACCTTTCAAATAAAATGGAAAATTAATTAATTTATAAAACAAGGGAGGACTAGAACTGTGGCATAGCAGGTAAGGCGTCTCCCATATGGGTGCTGATTCCCCATATGGGTGGTGATTCGTGTCCCAGCTGCTCCACCTCCAACACAGCCCCCTGCTAATGGCCTGGGAAAAGCAATGGGAGATGGCCCACACCGGGGACCAGGATGAAGCTCCTGGCTCCTGGCTTTGGCCTGGCTCAGCCCTGGCCGTCATGGCCATCTGGGGAGTGAACCAGTGGATGGAAGAGCTCTCTCTGACTTCAATCAAATAAATCTTTTTGAAAATATAATTTATAAAAACGCGGGTGACTGCAAAAGGCCCCCAGTGCAACAGAGAGGCTCAACGTGAAAACCAACACAGCATCTGCGGCTTCCCAGGTCCCAGGGGAGCAGAAGGCACCAAAGGCACCTCGGGAAATGCTGAAACCACAGCAGCGGCAGAACCAACGGGAAAGTCAGGCTCTGCCCGGTCCTGCTCCCAAATCTCAGGAGGAGGATGCAGAGCCGTGGCCAGAGACCAGAGCTGACCTCAGGCCTACAGCAGGTCGGGAGCAAGGTCCCGCCCAGAACCCGTGACTCCAGCCGCAGCCCAGATGGCCTGGCCCGCCACGAGAGGAAGTGGGGGCCCCTGAGGGGCAAGGACGCAGCTGCAGGAGCTGGGAGCAGAGTGCCCAGGGCCGCGGGCCCTCACGGCACTGCAGTCACCAACCACCCTCCGTTACAGGAGACAAGGGCACGGCCCCCTGGGGAAAGCTTCGTGCCTCGCCTCATCAGGTGCTTAAAGCGACAAACTCAGCAGCTCAGTCACCGACGACGGGGCTTCTCGGAGGATTAGCACCTCGCCCCAGGCTCCGAGGCAGCCAGTCTGAGCAAGAGCCCCCAAAGCACCACAGAACACGTGGGCGCGATCAGACTCTCCACGTCACTGCTGGAAGGGAACTTCCAGGGAACTTCCAGCGAACGGAGCTGGTTCCCCCCACAACACCACCCCGGCCAAGATGCCGCCTTCAGACCTGCCCTGGCCCCTCCCTGCTCTGTACCCGGGCAACTTCCACCCAGTGCTGCTGCCACTCACTTGGCTCAGGGCACCTAACCACAGCCCCTCGGGCCGACGAGGCGCCAAGTGTGCCAACTGTTTCCAGTTCCCCAGTGCCTGCTGGTTAGGAGGTCGGCTGCTGACAAAGCTTCTCTGACCCCATGACCCATCCGAAGAGGGGGGACCAGGCAGGGCCACAGCCCCGAGAGGTCAACGAGGGTGAATTACCACCCTCCCAGCGCCAGGAAGGCCGGAGGGGAGGCAGGCCCCTTTGAGGCTGTTTCAACCAACACTGCCGGCTGGCTGGCCTGCTTCCCTCCTGGCTCGCGGCACAGGGCAAGCAGCAACAAGTGTGACCCGCCCAGCTCCAAGGGGCAGGGGCCAGCCGCCTCATTCCTGGAACTTGCCTGGCCTGCACCAGCAGGGCCCTCGGGCTGGGGAGAGGAGAACCCAGAGAAAACAGCAGGGTGGAGACGCGAGAAGAGGGGAGGCCGGTGGGAGAAAGCAGCCAAGCCCCATTAACTCGCCTGACTCAGTCCCAGAACCCCAGCCCTAACGCTATCTAGAAATAGACCTCAAGATCAAGTGGGACGGACCAAGCAGGGAGACACGGAACGCGGGGCCCCAGCACTGCTGAGGAGACACCCACTCCATGGTGGGGGGGTCTCTGGAGCCCAGCCTGCTGCCCTCCCTGAACCCACCCGGGGTCCCGACTCCGGGAGGGGGATGCTCGGGCTCCTCCAAGGTCCAGCGCCCTCCTGTCTCCCACACTCCTGCTCACTTCACTCCAGTCAGCTCTCAGCTGCCAGGACTCCCCGGCGGCCCGACCTGGAGCCTGTCTCATGCCCGTTCTGCCACTGCCGGCTGTGTAGCCAAGTCCAGCAGCCTCCACGTGCCACAAGCTGACACAGCCTACCTCAGGGCCATGAAGGCGATCACTCTGCCCGCCACGTAACACACAGAGCCCATTCTGTGGGTCCTCTGAAAAAAAAAACACTGAACACCCAAGCAGCTGCCGAGGTGTCTGGCACTGTGGTGCAGCAGGTTAGGCCTGCCTACAACACCAGGATCTCACACGGGCACCTGTTCGAGTCCTGGCTGCTCCTGTGCCGATCCAGCTCCCTGCTAACGCGCCTGGGAGAGCAGCAGCAGATGTCCCAAGTGCTTGGGCCCTGCCGCCCAGGTGCAAGACCCGGGTGGGAGTTTCAGGCTCGGGCTTTGGCCCGGCCCAGCCCCAGCCCTTGCAGCCATTTGGGGAGTGAACCAGCAGAGACAAGATCTCTCCCCGCCTCCCCATAACTCTACCCTTCAAACAAATCATTAAAAAAAAAAAAGTGTCTGTCACCGTGGGAAGTTGGGTGGGCGGGGTGTGGCAGCACGCCACTCACCGGCTGTCAGCCAGCCAGGAAGACTTTTCTCCCTGGGGAGCGGCGCGGCCGCAGGCCTGCACACTCCACTGGCCCCCGCCACATCACCCCTGGAGGAAACGGGCCCCACCCGGGCCCCCGCTCTGCATCCTCAGTGCTCTGCACAGTGAAGCGCGACGCAGCGCCAGCCAGCCCCGCAGCACTCGCCTGCCCTCTGGACCGGACCCGGCCCAGGGTGGCACGCTCCGTCTTCAGGAGCTGACAGTGCTACAAGCACCCCGGGCCGGGCTGGAGCAGCCCAGCAGCCGCAGCTGCACCCCGGCCACCACCTGCGCCCACTCCCACACGCTCGCTTCTGTGCGCTCCTCACCCAGGGCTCCCAGCCCCCCGCACCTCTAGTGCCTGGCACAGGGCAGACTCGGAGAACGCCGAGTTACCCGACACGTGGCCCGGTACTGCACTACAGGTCTTCAACTCGGCTCTCATGAGCGAATACAAGGATGGACGGGTTTATCCAGCATGGCGACCACCAGGAATCAAGAACCACAGGCCAGGTGCTCAGCGGGTACCCTAGCACACACGCGGCGCGGGCCAACGAGCCAACACGACAGCGAGAGTGAGGAGGGCAGGTGCTGAGGCTGCCGGAATCCAGGCGAGCCTCCCCAGCTAAGTCCCAAGAGAGCCCAGACAAGGCGCACAAGACCACCGACGGCACACAAGATACCTGGCTCCTCCGGACGTGGAGGCTCCCGGGGGCAGCAGCTGCGGTCCCAGGTGGGAGAGGCTGGAGCGGAAGAAGAGGGACTGGCTCCCCACGGCGAGAGCTGCTCCAGCCCAGGGGTTGGTGGTGTTCAGCCTGGGCGCAGACCTGGCTCCGGAGAGGGAGGGTTTGTTGTAGGGGGCAAAGGCCTGGTGGGCCCCAAAGACAAAAGCGGTCCTGTGGGGGGTCTGGGGCACAGGGTAGGCGGGGAGGTTGGTCACGGAGTGGCGGTAGCGGCCCGACACAGGGCCAGTCCCGCTGCCGTGGAGGCACTGGTGGCAAGAGCAGGCAGCTCCCGTGTGGCTCGGCACGGAAATGACGCTGGTCACCGGGTAGGGCAGCGCCACCTGGCGCCGCACGCGCCGGCAGAAGCTAGAGGTCTTGTTGGTTTGCGTGTGGGTGGCATAGTTGATGGTGTAGTTGTACCCCAGGGGAGCCAAGTCCACAAGCTGGGTGCCCCTGGCCACCTGCTGCTCCAGGTAGTCACAGACGCTGGCCTCATAGGCAATCCAGGAGCCGTCGTCACCCAGCCACTCCCAGACGATGCCTCGGCCAGGGGCCGAGTGCTGGGGGAACAGGTGCCTCCGCACAGACCGCATGGTGCCTGTTAGAAGAGGAAATGCGACACGTGAACGGCTCATCGGCTGGCCACCACCCCCATTCTCCCCCCACACCCGGCACAGGCACACCAGGCAGAGAAATTGGGGCCCCAGCGGATCAGGTGGCAGAGGGGGACCCACACTCCTTGGGGCGGGGAGAGATGCTGGAAGCACAGGTCAACCATGGCTCAGGCTTGAACAAGCTTTCAAAACAGTATTTCCAATCACAAACCCACAGATTCCCACGTTAAAAATTTCAAAAAGACAATCAGGCCGGCGCTGCGGCTCACTAGGCTAATCCTCCGCCTGCAGCGCCAGCACACCGGGTTCTAGTCACGGTCGGGGCGCCGGATTCTGTCCCGGTTGCCCCTCTTCCAGGCCAGCTCTCTGCTGTGGCCCAGGAGGGCAGTGGAGGATGGCCCAAATGCTTGGGCCCTGCACCCCATGGGAGACCAGGAGAAGCACCTGGCTCCTGCCATCGGATCAGCGCGGTGCGCTGGCCACGGCGGCCATTGGAGAGTGAACCAAAGGCAAAGGAAGACCTCTCTCTCTCTCACTGTCCACTCTGCCTGTCAAAAAAATAAATAAATAAATAAAAATCAAATCACCCAACACGGAAGCCAAGGAGGCGGCAGGCGACACGCTGCGATGCCTCACTTCCTGTGGGGAGCAACCCGGACTGGACTGAGTTACTGGAATTAAGACTTATTCTATGCATCTGCTCTCCCACAATATGGCGCTGGGAGAGGAGAAAACAGCTTCTACACAGCTGCCTCCAGTTCAACCAATAAACAGCAGGACCTGCTCCTGATTGGAGGAGAGCAGCGTACTCGGCGTGTGGGTAGCAGAGTTGGGATTGGTGGAAGAGGACTATAAAGGAGGAGAGAGACAACATGCACCAGGAACATCTAAGGGGAACACCTGAGGAACATCTGAGCAGCCCCCGAGAGAGCCGGCCGGAGGTGTGCCGCTCCCCTGTGGAAGTGGGGAAAGTGGCAGGGGGAACCGCCCTTCCACGGAGGTGGAAGGGACGGTAGCCAACCCGGGAAGAACCAGCAGCAAACCCGGGGAGGGCCGAGCAGACAAAAGAACAGCGCAGGGTCCTGTGTCGTTCCTCCACAAAGATGGGGAGCGACAACTTCCCTTCTAGTCTCTCGTGCAGGTGTTCAGTAGCAGACAGGAGACGCACCCTGCTACACACACACGGGCACTTCCAAAAGTCCCAGGGAGCAGGGGCTGCAAGGGTAGGCTTATGGGGGAGGCCTTCTGGCACAAACGTGGCTGCACCCCATCCTGGAGGGCCTCGTTTCAGTCCCAGCTGTCTCTGATCCAGCCTCCTCCCAATGCATCCTGGGAGGCAGCCGATGACAGCTCAAGTGCTTGGGCCCCTGCCAGCCCCACGGGAGACCGGATGGAGTGAGTCTGGGACCCTGACTTCAGCCTAGACCAGCCCTGGCTGCTGTAGGAATGAACTGGCAGATGGAGATCTCTCTGCTGCTCTCCCTCTCAGGCAGATGAAAATAAGTAAACAGGCAAGACAGAGAGAACTTTATTTTGATTTGCAGATTTCTGAAATTCACTCACAGCTTTTCTGTAATACACATTCTCCATGACTTTTTTTCTAAAGTATCCCCCTATTGTGCCCTGAACATCGTCTGTGTCTCTAAAACATTCTGTTTAGCTCCTCACTACCACCTACACCGATGAACCACTCCCTCTGACGTCTCTGCAGCTCCCGGAAAACATCTTCTCTAACGTATTCACTTGGTTAACCAAGACCAAACCCAGGGCAGGAATCTGGTGTGGCTATTATTAAAGAACGCCGTTGGGGTGTCTACATCCCGTATCAGAACCAGAAATTTCACAACCAGAAATGTCTCCAGACATCCGCGGGTCAAAATCACTCCAACTGAGAACCAGTGGATTGGAGGAGAGGGGCAGCTCTGTGGCTGGTTCAAGTCCAGGCTACCCTACTTCCAACCCGGCTTCCTACTGATGTGCTCGGGAGGTAGCAGAAGATGGCCCAAGCACTTAGGTCACTGCCACCCACATGCAGAGCTGGATGGAGCTCCTGGCTCCCGGCTCCAGCCTGGCCCAGTCCTGGCTGTTGCTGCCAGCTGGGAAGTAACTCAGAGGATGGAAGACCTGTTTCTTGATGTCTCTTTCTCTGTTACCCTGCCTTTCAAATAAGAAAATCTTTTTAAAAAAAGATTAAAAATCAGAAAGGAGTGGATGTCATGGTGCAGCAGGTTAAGATGCCATGGGGGGTGCTGGCGCTGTGGCATAGCAGGTAAAGCTGCCGCCTGCAGTGTTGGCATCCCAGATAGGTGCTGGTTCGAATCCCAACTGCTCCACTTACGATCCAGCTCTCTGCTATGGCCTGGGAAAGCAGTGGAAGATGGCCCAAGTGCTTGGGCCCCTGCACCCACATGGGAGACCCGGAAGAAGCTCCTGGCTTCGGATCAGCACAGCTCCAGCCATTATGGCCAGCTGGGGCGTGAACCAGCAGATGGAAGACCTCTCTCTGTGTGTAACTCTGACTTTCAGATAAATAAATCAAAAAAAAAAAAAAAAAAAAAAGATGCCACATGGGACCCACATCCCACACTGAAGTGCCTGCTTCCAGTGTCGTGCACTCTACGTAGCCAGCTTCCTAGTAATGCGCGTGACGAGAGGCCACAAGTGGTAGCCCAAGTGCCCAGGCCCCTGCTGCCCACGCGGCAGGAAGGCTGCCCGCTCCTGGTTTCTGCACGGCCCAGGCCCAGTTGTTGCTAGGAAGTGAATAGGTGGATGAAGATCTACCTTTCCCCTCTGCCGCTTGCCTTTAAAAGAGCCCCCAGTGACTGCAGGGCGAGGCAGGCGCTCCTGGTTTGGGAGACAACGGGAGGAGGGCTGGGAGCTCCCCTACTGCCTGAGGCCCATCTCAGCGGGCTGGGCAGCCGCTCCCACTCAGAGCACCCAGCTCCCTGCCACGTCCATCTCATGGCAAGGACAACGCAGTGCCTGGGTAACACACAACACCTCGCACGCGGGGCACCTGGGCCAGAGCACGTGCTCAGATGTGCAGCGGGGCAGAGGTGTCTTACCAGTGTCCTGGCGGAACTGGGTCCAGTTGGGGAGGTCGATGATGTAAGGGGCCAGCGAGGGGTCGGCCTGGCCCAGGGGGATGCTGTGGGCCAGGCTTCCCAGCCCAAAGCGTTGGCCCTTCTGCTGGACAAACTGCTGCTCGATGTAGCTGCAGACGGCGGCGCTGTAGGGGTGCCAGGAGCCCAGCCCGTCCTGCCATTCCCACACAGCCACTGCCACGGGGCTGGCGTACACTTGGGCCAGGGAAGGGCCTGGGGCCATGGCCATCTTCCCTCGGACTCCTCTGCTTGCCCAAACGGCTTCAGAGCGCTCTGGGATGGAATCTCGGGTTCATGGCCCAGCGCCTGGAGCAGACCTGGAAACCAGAGAGAAGAGCGGTTACCAATGCCCACCACGAGCTCTGCCCGAGTCGGGCTGGGGGCAGTCAGCCCATTCCGCAGCGGCTCTCCCAGTACCTCGAGGGCACCAGGAACGGAGCACCTGCTCCTCGAGGGCACCAGGAACGGAGCACCTGCTCCTGCAGCTCTGCCCTGGCAGTCAGGAAGAATCCAGTCAGTCCCTCCTCCCAGCTCCGCACGTGCTCAGACGCGGCAGAGTGCGTGCCCCGCTAAGACTGAGGCCAGCTCCTCTCGCTACCACTGCCCTCCCTCTGACCCGATCACTCAGTCTATCCTCTTGAGCCATACCTATTTCTGAGTCAACCCAAATCCTTGTGCGGTACAGCCACGATCGCCCCTCATCCCTGTGTACCAAGCTGACGGTTTCCAACCCAGGTTTATCTGAGCAATGTGGATTAACACTCACTATGCTGCAGATAAACACTGGGTCTCACACAGGACCAGGGGGCTGTGGCAAAGCTGGCACTTGAAGCATGTTTCTCGTAGGTGGGGACGAAGACAGATTCTGGCTCCTGTGTCGCTGGCCACCCTGGAAGCATCCCCGAGCAGAAGGAAGCCCCAGGCAGACAGGAAAACTCCCACCCCGCCTCGGCCTCCCCACCCAGGCCTTACCGACTGGCTGTCTGCCATCTGCAGGGCCCCCTGGCCCCGAGACCTTTTCCTCGAGGCGCTCCACCCGCCTCCCCTGCAAACCCTGTGCACTCCTTGGGCCCAACCTGTGTCACTCAGAAAGCTTTCCCGGCCACCCACCCACATCCCTCTGCTGTGCCTCTGCTGCTGTCCCCTTCGGCTGCACTGCAGCAAGGCCACCTCCCCTGCACGGGCCCTGGCACTGAGACGCCGCACACTCCCTGTACACCTTCAAGCTCTCTAAGCTGGCTTCCTCCTCCTTGGAAAGCGGAGACACCAGCATTTACCCAAGTGCTCTTCACGGGACTGAGAGAGAGGTATGCATACAAAGCACCGGCACCCAGCAGCTGCTCCCGCTCGCTTCCACCCCTTTCCCCCAGTGCCCTCCCACCCACGTCTGGGGTAGGCTGACTGCGAGGGCAGCACTGAAGCCGCGGCACACATCCGAGAACACAGGCCGCGTCAGGCCCAGGAACACAGCTGTGCTGCCAGGCCTGTACTGAGCCGCCAAGGCCTCTGCTGAGAGCCCAGATCCTGCCGGGGAGGACTGGCCCCGGGCGCCCTCGGGCAGGCTGGCTGAGCTCACGGCCTGCAATCAGTCTGCCACCGCATCAAGGCACAAATCAGGAGGGTGGCAGAGCCGCCTGCTCCCGAGGAGGCCGGGGCCTCCGTATCATCGCCCACGGGCTGTGCCCCGGCATGTCCACACATCCCCAGGTGAGTCAACACACACAACTCCGCACACCCACAACGCCAGCTCAAGCTTTACGAGAAGGTGTGCAGCCCCCTTAGATGGGGGAACCTGCCACGTTCAGGCCTCTCCACAACAGGTCCCGTCCCCACTCACACCAAGCCCTCTAAACTCAGGACCTCAGGCCACCCCATGGGAATCCAGCAAGTTCTAGAACACTCTGAGCCCTCTCGCACCTCCCAGTCCCATGCTCCCCCCGTACAAGTCCCCGTCCTCGCAGCCGCCTGTGTCTCCACTCACCCAGCAGCACTGCCCTTGTGGGTTTCAGTCTGTTCCCCTGCTGGAGCAGGAACTGCCAAAGGCTGGCTCCAAGACAGAGCCGAGGTTTTCAACTGCCCAATATCCCAGGGGGTCTGAAACCCCAAAAGACAAAGGAAGGGGAAGCTTCTGTTGCAGGGGCACGGGGCCCAGAAACGCCCACGGTGTCCCACGGGAACCCAGCAATTAGGCCTGGTGCACCAGCCACGGCCCTCGCTCGGCTGCAGATCAAAAACCTAATTTGTTTCAGCTCCCAATGACAGGGGCTATTTGGGGAGCCCTCAATTATGAGAAGTATTATGATAATTGGCGGTGGAAAGGCTTCAATCTGGAGACAACCTGAACACCTTACAATGAGGAAATTCTTAAATAAATTATGGCACATCCTAATGATGGAATAGGAGTCAGTCTTAAAAAAAAAAAATGTTCAAACCAAACCAGTGTTGTGATGCCCTGGGTTGCGCCACTGCCTGAGACGCCGCCATTCCAGGGTGCTGGTTCAAGTCCCGATGCTCACTTCCAAACCAACTCCCTGCTGAAGTGCCTGGGAAAGCAGTGGAAGGTGGCCCAGCTGCTTGGGCCCACATGGGAGTCCCAGGCGGGAGTTCCTGGCTCCTGCAGCCATCTGAGATGTGAACTGGCAGATGGGAGATCTCTCTCTCTCTTCCCTCCCATTACTCTTTCAAATAAACAAAAACCTTTCAAAAAAAAAAAAAAAAAACACAAAAAAACAAAAAACAACTGCGTTCCTAAGATAAGGCCCCCAGCAGGCTAAACACAAGATCTAAAACCGAAGGCACACTGAGCACTCGGGGGTGGGAGTGCCATTGACCCAGCACCTACTGCGTGACCCACACCCTGCCTGGTGTTTTGCCATTCAGATCTCCCACCCTCAAAAGCAGGACTATCCGTTTTACAGACAAGGGAGCCGAGGCCCAAAGACACTAAGTATTCACAGGGGCCGGCAGCTCAAGCTGCTGTCTGGGACATCAGCATCTGAGATGGGTGCCGGTTTGTGTCCCAGCTGCTCTACTTCCAATCCAGGTATCTGCTGATGTGTCTGGGAAAGCAGAGGAAAATGGCCCAACACTTGGGCTCCCGCCACCCCTGTGAGAGACCCAGATGAAGCTCCTGGCTTTGGCCTGACCCAGACCTGCCTGTTGCAGCCGTTTTGGGAGTGAACCAGTAGATGGAAGATCTGTCTCTCCTCTATAACTTAAAAAAAAAATAATAATAATAATAAATTAAATTTAAAAAAAATAAGTATTTACCTAAGACCAACAATCCAATCTGTCAAACCATGAAGTCCATGATGTTTCTACTTCAAACAATTTTAAAATTTTGTTATTGGGGCCAGCACTCTGGCACAGCAGGTTAAAAGCCCTGGCCTGAAGTGCCGGCATCCCACGTGGGCACCAGTTCTAGTTCCGGCTGCTCCTCTTCCAACCCAGCTCTGCTGTGCCCTGGGAAAGCAGTAGAAGATGGCCCAAGTATTTGGCCCCTGCACCCACGTGGGAGACCTGGAAGAAGCTCCTGGCTCCTGGCTCCTGGCTTCAGATCGGCGCAGCTCCGGCTGTTAGGGCCATCTGGGGAGTGAACCAGCGGATGGAAGATCGCTCTCTGTCTCTACTGCTCTCTTTAACTCTTTCAAATAAATAAAATAAACCTTTGAAAAAAATTTTGTTATTTATGTATGACTTATTCAAAAGGCAGAGAAAGAGACAGAGCTCTCCCAGCCACTGACTCACTCCTCAGTGCCCACAACAGCTGGGTCTGGGCCAGAGCAAAGCCAGGAGCCTGGCACTCAGCCCAGATCCCCTCTGTGGGTGGCAGGGACCCAACCATCTAAGCCACCATCTGCTGCCCCCCAGGATCTGCACTAGCAGGAAGCCGGCTCAAAAGTGGAGCTGGGACGCAGAACCAGGTACTGCGATACGGGATGCAGGGGCCCCAGCTGGCATCAGCTGCTGCCCCACAATGAACACCTTCAGAGGGCCGGGAAGAACGCTCAAATGCACTACTACTAGAACTGTGAGAGGCTTCCTCCTCGGCCCCTCCTGCAATGGTTATGCTAATTTTTCTAGGGAAAAGCCACCTATGGCTGCAGGTGCCTGCCAACTATGGTCGGCACCACGGTCGAGGCACAGCAGCGCCGCCGCCGTTCTGGCTGACAGCCACTGTCGCACATGAGAAAAAACCCACAGGTGACCAGAGAACTCAGCACAACAGCCAAGCTGGCCCAGGAATCAGAGCGAGAACTCACCCCGCCAGGAGGCCGGCATCCCCCATCAGAGTGCCAGTTCCAGCCCCGGCTGCTCCACTTCCAACACAGCGCCCTGTCAATGTGCCTAGGAAAGCAGTGGAGGAAGGCCCGGGCACACGGGGCCCCGTATCCACGTGAGAGACCGGGGTGCAGCTCCAGGCCTCGGCCTGGCCCAGCCACTTGGGGAAGGGACCAGAAGACGGAGGCCTCTCTACCTCTGCCTTTCAAAGCAATGAATGAGTGAATGCATGAATGCGCGCCTCAGAGTGGGGGAACCACAAAAATGGACCCCTTGACGACTACTCCCTCTGGGAAGGAAGGCTGAGATGGATTTTTTTTTTAATTATTTGCGACAGAAGAGAAAACACTGCCATCCCCCGTTCACTCCCCAGATGCCTAGACAGCCGGGTGGGGCTGCAGCTGAAGCAGGGAGCTGGGACTCCATGCAGGTCCCCCGGGAGGCGGCAGGAGGCCGGATCACCTGCATCACTCGAGCCGCCACGGCCCCCCCCCCCCCCAGGCAGGCTCTGCACGCGCAGGAAGCTGTGACTGTGACGCGGGTGCTGTGCCCCGGCACTCCAACGTGGGAAGCAGGCCCAGCGCCGACTCCGGGTGCGATTCTGGACACACGGGGGCCTGCGTGCCTGCTCTTTCTCCAGCGGCCCCCGAAGCTGCCTTGCAGGACAGGAGAGGCCCAAGTGAGACCAGGTGACTTCAAGGACCTCCTCCCAGCTCTGACTCCACCATCACGGGCGGAATGGTTTTCTCCATCCTCACACCTCATTCTTGGAGGTCTCCGAGAAGGTGGGCCTGCAAAGCCACAGCCCAACAGCGACAGTGGGAGCCCAACTCCAAAGGCTTCTTGCAGCGCAGACCCTGTTGGGGAGCTTCTCCAAAGACAGGGAAAGGCCAGTCCTGGACATGAAGGTGTCACAGCGGCGTCTGCCGTCCCAGAAAGTTCTTATAGAACTCAGGTTCAGATGCCCGCGTCCCGTCCTGGAGGGCCTGGCTTCAACTCCTGGCTTCAGCTCCGGACCCCGGCTTCCTGCCAGTGCTGACCTGGGAGGCAGCAGTGATGGCCCAAGGACCCGAGTTCCCGACACCCACGTGGGAGACCTGGATTAGGTTTCTGGGTCCTGGCTTTGGCCTTGACCCAGCCCTGGCCATTGCAGGAATTTGGGGAGTGAACCAGAGGACAGGAACACTCAGTTTCTCTAATACATAAATTAATTAAACCATTATAAAGTATAAAACTTTTGCCTATAAAATTAATAAAAGTAACTTAAATTTCAATCCTCCGCTGGCAACAGTAAATGGCGATGTCACAGAGCTGGGAAGGATAAAACCTTCCTGGAAAATAAATTGGTGATGTGAACCAACATTCTTATACAAAAATGCTCATTTCCTTTGTCCCAAGATTCTATTATAAGGAGATTATATGGGGCCAGTGCTGTGGCATAGCGGGTAAAGCAGCCGCCTGCAGTGCCGGCATCCCATATGGGCACTGGTTTGAGTCCCGGCTGCTCCACTTCTGATCCAGCTCTCTGCTGTAGCCTGGGAAAGCAGTAGAAGATGGCCCAAGTCCTTGGACCCCTGCACCTGCGTGGGAGACCCGGAAGAAGCTCCTGGCTCCTGGCTTTGGATCGGTGCAGCTTCGGCCATTGCAGCCATCTGGGGAGTGAACCAGTGGATGAAAGATTTCTCTCTCTCATTCTCTCCCCCACCCCCCACCTCTCAGTAACTCTGTTTTTCAAATAAATAAATTAGTCTTTTTTTTTTTTTAAAAAAAAAAAAAGGAGATTATACAAAAATTTCAACACAAAAATATTCACCATAGCACAACTCCTGCTATGTAAAAGACTTCTATTATGTACAAGACAAACACAGGAAAAGAACATAGGGAAAAAACTCAATAGAAATGTAATAGAATGTCAACAAGGCTGTCTTTCAAGGGAGAAACCACAGGAGGCCTTTTGTTCAACTTCCTTATATATCTGAATTCTTCACATTTTCTAAAGCTACCGGGGTGGAGGGAGCTTCTTTAATACACCGAACACGTGGCGCCGGCACTGTGGCACAGCCTGCTCAGCGGCTGCCTGGGAGGCCGGCTTCCCAGAGAGTGCCAGTTCGAGGCCTGGCTACTGCTTCCAGTCCAGCTCCCTAATGCGTCCTGGGAAGCAGCGGACAGTGGCTCAACGTCTTGGGCCCCTGGCTCCCATGCGGGAGTCCTGAATGGAATTCTGGGCTCCTGGTTTCAGCCTGGCCCAGCCCCTGCTGTCCTGGGCATTAGGGGAGAGAACCAGCAGATGGTGGTAGGTCTCTCTAATGCTCCAGGGTACAGGCCCCAGAAACATAAAATAGTGGGGAACCACCTCCTGCAGAACCAGGAACGTGCCACCTGGTCCGAGGGCAGAGCCCTGGCTCAAGGGGCCAAGATGACGGCATGGCGGAGGCAAGGGGCAGGAGCAGCCAGCGGCACAGCCATTGCCACACAGGGCTTGCTTGCTATGCTTGGAGGCACGGTCTTAAGAACCTTGTAGGTGTTCCTGTTTAACCCTGGGCTCCAGGGAGGCAGCTGCTTCCCTCACTTCACAGTGGACAGGGAAGTGAGACCAAAGGAGAAGCGACCTGCCCACGGACACCAGGGTCCACGGAAACCCAGGTCTGTTTCCAGAGTCCTCGTCCTCCACCAGAGCCGGAAGGGGTCCACCGATTCTGGACAAACCGGCCTGCAAATGCATCTTTGTGTTTCTGTTTTTGTTTTTTTTTTTTAACTGAGCCCATGTTTAAAAACTGCAAGAGGCCGGCGCCGCGGCTTGCTAGGCTAATCTTCCGCCTTGCGGCGCCAGCACACCGGATTCTAGTCCTGGACGGGGCACCGGATTCTGTCCCGGTTGCCCCTCTTCCAGGCCAGCTCTCTGCTATGGCCAGGGAGTGCAGTGGAGGATGGCCCAAGTGCTTGGGCCCTGCACCCCATGGGAGACCAGGAGAAGCACCTGGCTCCTGCCATCGGATCAGCATCAGTGCGGTGCGCAGGCCGCAGCGCGCCAGCCGCGGCAGCCATTGGAGGGTGAACCAACGGCAAAAGGAAAACCTTTCTGTCTCTCTCTCTCTCACTGTCCACTCTGCCTGTCAAAAAAAAAAAAAAAAAAAAAACAAAACTGCAATAGCCACCATTTAAAAAAAAAATCCTGATTTGTAGATTCTCTTGAAAACCAGAAACATAGCAACATTTGCAGGCCTGACCTAAATCCATCACCCACCCAGCAAGGACCAGCTGAACCACAGTGGTGGCTGGGCCCGACATTCCATAGGTTCCCACGGTTACCGTGACTCCTGGGGAGGGGGCCAGCAAGCTCCTATAAGGGCCTGAAGTCTGTATTCAGTCGCTGAGGGCTCAACTCTGCCACTGCATGAGCATAGGAGACTGGTTGTACTCCAATAAAACCAGGAACAAAACAGCAGTGGGTGGGATCCAGCCCACAGGCCACGGCGCGCAGGTCCCCACCCTCCTGCCTCCCGCAGGCTCTGCTGTGGTTGAGAAATACCTTCTCTGAACCCGTCTCCTCGGGTGCCTCCCGGTCAGCCTGGCCAAGCGCCACGCCCTGTCCTCGCAGGCCCGGCCCGCCTCCAGAGCCGCCCAGCATTCGGAACTTTCTCTGCCGCGGGTTGTCAGACCCTGGCCTACCTTCTCCCTCCCCTACACTCCCCTTGGCCCTTGTATCTGCTCCCACGGCCTCAAGAAACTCCCACGCACATCACCGGAATGCGTCTTCACCCTGCCCTGCCTCAGCTCCGGGCATCAAGGAAATGATGGGATGTGCATTTGCCACCGTCGTAGCTACTACTGTTTTAGGTAGTAGCTGGGTTGCCAGGGCTGACGCCACACGGTGCGGCGTGTGGGTTAAGCCACCGCCTGAGACACCTGCACCCCACAGTGCCAGTTCCTGTTCCGACGGCTCTGTTTCCCATCCACCTCCCTCTCCTGTGCCTGGGAAGACAGAGAAGATGGCCAAGTACTTGGGATCCTGCCACCCACGCGGGAAACCTGGATGGAGTTCTGTGCTCCTGGCTCCAGCATGGCCCAGCCCCGGCTGCTGCGCACACTTGGGGTCCCTATCTCTATCACTCTATCTTTCAAGTAAGTAAATAGATTTAAAAAAAAAAAAGGCTTTTTAAGATTTATTTTATTTATTTGAAAAGCAGAGTGACAGAGAGGGAGAGAGATCTTCCAAATGGCCACACCGGCTGGAAAAAGCTGGAAACCTGGAGCTCCACCAGGGTCTCCCACCTGGGCGCCGGGGCGTCCTCTGCTGCCTTCCCAGACATCAGCAGGGGCTGGACGGGAAGCAGTCTGGGGAAGCCGTCTCTCACACCAGCGCTCACGGGGCTGCCGGTGCCGCAGGGCAGCAGCTTAACCCACGGAACACTGACGAGCCTGTGTTAACCCCGTTCCCGGTTTACCAGACGCGCGCCCAAGAGCCCCGAATTCATCTCTGTCCTCTCGGCAGCCCAGCACAACCCCTGGCACACGGAAGTCAGCGGGTCCCACACCAGGCGGGGCTCCGGGCGGCTTCCTTCCTAGCCCGTGGCCTCGTTCCCCGCTGGCCTCCTAAGTGCCCACAACACACCCGAACCAAGCTCATCTTCCTCCCGAACGCTCCCTTCCCCTGCATTCCCTGGCCTGGGGAAACACCCGAGGTTCTGGCTCCTCTTCTCCCTCCTCCCCCCCAGCACAGCGGCTGCCATGGCCTCACTGCTGGAGCAGGGCTGGGAGCGCCTGCTGAGCCCCGATGCTCACTCCAGGGGCCTGCACCTCTGCTTCCCTGCAGCCCACCTCGGGCACAGGTGGGAGGAAGCCTCCTGAAGCAAGCGGGCGCTTCTCTATGCCGGAAGTCCACACTCCCCAGGGTTGACAATCGAAGCCCCCTCCCTCCCTCCCCCTCAACAACACAACACTTGCAGGCCTAGGTCCCCTCTCCAATCCCTCCTCCTCCACACCCATCCAGGCATCCCCACCTCCACGCTCTACCCAGTCCTCACCTACACTTCCAGGGGCTCAATCTGAACGCACCTGCACAACGCCTTGAGGACCCCAAGGGAAGGAAGCAGCCCCTTAACCCCCACTGCGGCCTGTGCGTCAGGGCCCCCCCCTCACCGCATCTTATCCCTGCAAGTGGACGACAAGCCACTGAGGGCCAAAGCCCTCACCTAGCCTCCCCCACCAGAGGCCGGCACGGTGTAAGGCGCCGGCCGTAAGGGGAGTCCAGTCCACGCCACGCCGCCCCGAGGATTCTGCTGAAACCTTGCCACTGCCACAGCCGTGGCGGGACTGTCACAAAACACCCGGCGCTGGTGACCGACAAAGCCAACAGGTGGGTTTGGCTCGAGGTTCTGGTGGCTGGAGGGGCCGCGCGGCCAGGTGGCAGCATCCTGGTGAGGGCCCTTCGGCTGCACCTGCAGAAAGGGAACCAGCCGCACAAAAGGGACACAAAAGGGACCGTGCACCCGGAGCGAGTGGCTTTACAGCCATCGGCTTTCAGGAACAGGAATCCTCTCCCAGGAGAGGCGCATGCACCCGCTCATCTCCTTCCCTTAGGTAGGCCTCAGCTCTGTGGGACGCCACCACCTCCACACCAGGGACCTCAAGCACACCAATGGTCAAGCCACAGCAAACCACAAGCCCTCCCGGCTCAGACCCTGCTTACTCCTGCAGCCTGCACCACCCCACACCGGGCCCCGCTCTGCCCTGGCTCCCCTGCCGGGCCACCTCTCCCCGTGTCCTCAGCAGAGGGTGGGGGGCTCTGCCCTGCGGTTCCCCCAGCTCAAGGACGCCTTGGAACAGCCTGTGCTGTCTCTTCCACCAAGAAGGCAGGGATATTATCTGCCCCCCCCCCCGGGCGTGGTTTATGCAACACAGGTCGTGAAAATTTCCAGTTCAAAAGCAGAAATCAGGACTTCCGTCCTCCACCCCAAAGCCTCCTGGGTCTGGCTCAGCAGGAGCGGCGCTTCGCAAGAGGGCTCGTGGATGTACCTGGGGCAGCCGGCACCCACGGCCCACTCCCACCCAGGGCCTCGCTTCCACTCTGGACACCTCCAGCTCCACCCTCCGCGGTGTCCTTCTTCTCTGCCGGAACCCAGGCCGAGAGGGCAGCGAGGTGAAGCCCCCAGCGCTCACCTCTTCTGTCCAGAGGGCCGGCACTCTCCGTGCCCCTTCTCGACGCAGACACAGATCCTCAGGAGGAAGCACTGCCCGGAGTCCCCATCTCGGTACACAGACAACAAGAACCGGGAAAATCCGAGAGCCTTGCTGACTCAGCGGCACGAATTCCAAGGCACCTTTGCCAACAAGGAAGAGGGCGATCAGGTTTTCAATTGAGAAACAGCAGGGAGGGGAAGCGGGTGCACAGACGCTGTGGCCGTGGCCCGGGACTGGAAGTCACCCGATTTATTTTCCAACAGCCCGGGCAGGGCAGAAGGTGGCGGGACTCTTTTCCTCCCGCCCGCTCAAAGGCAAGGAGAGGATTTTAAAAACCCAAGCCCGCACACAGAAGAGGCCTGAAAAAGCCCGCAGGCTGCTTAGACATCCAGGAAGTCCACACAGGGTGACAATCTGACCAAGGTCACACAGCAAGCGACCAAGAGGGCCAGCTACCGGGTCAGCTTCCGAGAGCCCTGATTTTTTGGCTACCCAAAACACCGGAGGGTCTGGGGGCGGCACGCGGAAATTTGAGTTTGGGGGGGGGGCGGAGCGGGGGGTCTACGCGGCCGGCACTTTGGGAAGTGGAACCGGTGCAGCTGGTTAGGGCGGGCGGCATGAAACCCCAGCTCCAGAGATGGGACGAGTGCCCCCCCAAGTCCTCTTCAACACCCCTCGCGCATCCCTGCAAGTGACCGGGGACCCCGCGAAACGGGAGCTCAGGCGAAGGTGGACCCCACTGTTAGACGGGGATGGGGGGGGGCAGGGGAAGCCGAGTGACGGGGCCAACTCCTCCCCAAGTCCAGCCCCCCTGGCCCGGCGAGTTCCTCCACCTGAGGGCGGACCCAGGAGAAAACCCACAGCCTCGCCCACCGCCTCCTCCAGGTCCTGGGGAAAAGGGTCTGCTCCTCCCGACCCAAACTCCTCCGCGCCCCTCCTCCCGCTGCGACCCCGCGCCCAGCGCCCAGCGCCGACCCGAGCCCCCAGCACCTCCAAATCCCCCTCGACTCCCGGCCTCAGGACCGGGGGCGCGCGAGCCACTCCTCCCAATCCCCCGGGACTCCGGGGCCTCCCTCACTCCCACGCCCGCCCCCTTCCGGCCCCAGCTCGGCTCGGTCTCCCTCCGCCGCCTCCCGCCCTCGGGACCCCCAACGCTGCCGACGAGCAGGAGGCCTGCCCGCTTCTCTCACCGGGGCTGAGAAGGGCGAGGGGACGAGGCGAGGACGCCGACGCGCCGGGACCGGAGCTCTGGCTCGGCCCGGGCAGGGTTCCGGCTGTGGCTCCCGACTCCTAGCGGGAGACACCAGCCAGAGTAAAACTCGGCGTCGCAGCTTCCGAGCGCCCCGCCGCGCATGCCCAGCGCGCGGGGCCTTCTGGGAAATGTAGTCCGGCCTGGGTCAGGGGGCGGGGCAGAAGGAGATGGGCGGAGCCTCTGGCGCACCTGCCCAGGTGAGTGTGGTTTTCTTTCATTCCCTCGTGGAGTTACTGCTTCACTCGTTACGGGCTCACTTTTTAACTTCTATTTATTTTTTACCTGAAAAGCAGACACAGACGTCTTCCACCGGTTCACTCCTCAAATGGCAGCAACACCTAGGGCTGGGATGGCTAAAGCCAGAAGCCTAGAACTCAGTCCAGGTTTCCACGTGGGTGACAGGAACCAAGTACTCGAGGCATCGTCTGCTGATTCCCAGGGTGCACAGTAGCAGGGAGCTGGACTGGGACTCAGGCACTCCATTCTGTTACCTAGATATGGGCGCCGCAGGTGGAGGATTAACCAAGTGAGCCACAGCGCTGGCCCCCTCAACTCATTTTAAATAGTTCTACTGTTGTAGGCGTGATGCCAGGGCCTGCTCTGCTGCATACTGAGGACTGAAAAGTACATCAGAGATGTGTTTTTCTCCTAGAAGAGCTTTGCATCTACCTAGGGAGACTGAAACATAAACACACAATTGAAATATAGTAGGTTAGGGCTGGGGCTGTGGCACAGTGGGTTAACGCCCAGGCCCGAAGCACCGGCATCCCATATGGGCACCGGTTTGAGACCAGGCTGCTAAACTTCAGATCCAGCTCTCTGCTGTGGCCTGGGAAAGCAGTGGAAGATGGCCCAAGTCCTTGGGCCCCTGTACCCACGTGGGAGACCCGAAAGAAGCTCCTGGCTTCGGATCGGCTCAGCTCTGGCCATTGCAGCCAATTGGGGAGTGAACCATTGGATGGAAGACCCCCCCCCCCCGCCTCTCCTCTCTCTGTAACTCTGACTTTCAAATAAATGAATAAATCTTTTAAAAAATATATAGTAGGGGGAATACAATGATTTTAAAAAATGGGGCAGGCGTGGTGGCACCGCAGGATAAGCCACTGCTTGGGACGCCTGAGCCCGTACCTGAAGGCTGAGTTAGAGTCTGGGCACCTCAACTTCCTGTTAATGCAGCAGCTCACCTGGGAAGCAGCCCGGGGGTTCACACTGCAAAGTCCTGCCCTGACCCTGACAACTTC